AGTAAACAAGTGTGCTGTCTACTCAGTGAACAAGTGTGCTGTCTACTCAGAAAACAAGTGTGCTGTCTACTCAGTAAACAAGTGTGCTGTCTACTCAGTAAACAAGTGTGCTGTCTACTCAGTAAACAAGTGTGCTGTCTACTCAGTAACAAGTGTGCTGTCTACTCAGTAAACAAGTGTGCTGTCTACTCAGTGAACAAGTGTGCTGTCTACTCAGTGAACAAGTGTGCTGTCTACTCAGTGAACAAGTGTACTGTCTACTCAGTAAACAAGTGTGCTGTCTACTCAGTAAACAAGTGTGCTGTCTACTCAGTAAACAAGTGTGCTGTCTACTCAGTGAACAAGTGTGCTGTCTACTCAGTGAACAAGTGTGCTGTCTACTCAGTAAACAAGTGTGCTGTCTACTCAGTAAACAAGTGTGCTGTCTACTCAGTAAACAAGTGTGCTGTCTACTCAGTAAACAAGTGTGCTGTCTACTTAGTGAACAAGTGTGCTGTCTACTCAGTAAACAAGTGTGCTGTCTACTCAGTAAACAAGTGTGCTGTCTACTCAGTGAACAAGTGTGCTGTCTACTCAGTGAACAAGTGTGCTGTCTACTCAGTAAACAAGTGTGCTGTCTACTCAGTGAACAAGTGTGCTGTCTACTCAGTGAAAAAGAGTGCTGTCTACTCAGTGAACAAGTGTGCTGTCTACTCACTGAACAAGTGTGCTGTCTACTCAGTAAACAAGTGTGCTGTCTACTCAGTGAACAAGTGTACTGTCTACTCAGTAAACAAGTGTGCTGTCTACTCAGTAAACAAGTGTGCTGTCTACTCAGTGAACAAGTGTGCTGTCTACTCAGTAAACAAGTGTGCTGTCTACTCAGTGAACAAGTGTGTTGTCTACTCAGTGAACAAGTGTGCTGTCTACTCAGTGAACAAGTGTGCTGTCTACTCAGTGAACAAGTGTGCTGTCTACTCAGTGAACAAGTGTGCTGTCTACTCAGTGAACAAGTGTGCTGTCTACTCAGTGAACAAGGGTGCTGTCTACTCAGTGAACAAGTGTGCTGTCTACTCAGTGAACAAGTGTTGCAACCCTTCCAAATCCACACAAATCAGCATGCAACAAATACAATACAATTTGCAGATAAGGTGTTTACGCTTGCTAGGTCTCTGTGGGCCGGAGATGGCCTTAGGCTGCCAGTTGAACAGTTCTGCTGTAGGCGATGGTAATGTAGGCGAAGATGATTAGATGAAAATGAGGATGTAGGTGGTAGTGGTGGTGGTGATGATGATGATGATTAAATTATGAGAAGGATGTGGATGGTAATGGTGATATAGTGATGATAATTAAATGATGAAGAGAATGTAGAGGGGAATGCAAATGATGATGATGGGGATGAAGATAATGGTTAGATGAGGTGGATAATTTAGATCTTAATAATGATGATAATGATGATGATGATGATAAATATAATGATGATGATGATAATGATGATGATGATGATGAAGATGATGATGAAGATGAAGATGATGATGATATTGTTGACAAAACACTCAAACCTGAAACCTGCCAGTTTGGGGGTCCAGCAGAAACTTGCCAGCAGAGTTGCCACTGACAATGGAGAAGATCTTCACCAGGTCGCCAGTGTCCTGGTCTGTAGCTCTGAACTGGTACAGCAGTGTGTTGATAGTGGCATCTTCTGACACATTGATACTGGTGGCACCTGTCACTGTGAACTTTGGGGGGAATTCGTTGACATCTTCCACACTGACCTACATACACATAGAAATGGGTTTAGATGGTATAATGTTTGTCGACACATTGTACAAAGTTTGTGGACACAAAGGGTTATGTTAGATGGTACAATGTTTGTCAGCACAGACTGTTAATGGTTAGATGGTACAATGTTTGTCAGCACAGACTAATAATGTTTAGATAGTACAATGTTTGTCAACATGGACTGGTAAAGTTTGGATGGTACAATGTCTGTCTACACATAGACAGTTAATGCTTAGAACTTACAACGTCCGTCAACACGGACTGTTGATATCTGGATGGTTCAATGTTTTTTGACACAGACTGTCGATGATTTAGAATAAGACAAAAACAACCATAGACCAGGTGAGTCTCATTTCTGTTGGCTGTCAGTACAGAACTGTCTACATGTACCAGATTTCCCTGACATATCTAAACTACCTTCTGTATGTTCTACACTGACCATGTTACAACAAATTATGTGTATGTATGAGCAACTGTCATCCAACCTTGACATAAGCCTGGTCCGACTGTGCTCCATCGAATGCGGTTATCTGAAGGGTGTAGGCCGATAGACTCTCAAAGTCCAAGCGAGCATTCGGTCGTGTACGAACTTCACCAGTGTTGACATCGACAGAAAAATTACCATCATTGCCTGCAGAAACAAAACAACATGAGATAAGATTAGAAACAGCAGAAACAAAACAACATGAGACAAGACTAGAAACACAGCAGAAACAAAAACAACATGAGACAAGACTAGAAACACAACAGAAACAAAACAACATGAGACAAGACTAGAAACACAACAGAAACAATAGCACATAAGATGAGACTAGAAAAACAGCAGAAACAAAAACCCCATGAAGCAAGACTAGAAACACAGCAGAAACAAAATATGAGACAAGACTAGAAACACAACAGAAACAATAGCACATAAGACAAGACTAGAAATACAGCAGAAACAAAAACCACATAAGACAAGACTAGAACTAGGGTTGTACCGAATAGTGATTTTCACTATTCGACCGAATATGAATGGCATGAACAACTATTCGGCAGAATACAAATACGAATAGTGTATCATCATCATCAGGTGCCTTGCCGACTGCCGTGGGTCAATATGCCTTGCCACAATCTGTGATCTCCTGCAGCATGTATTAGTTTGTGTGCTGACACACCTCCATGCCATGCAACAAGAAGAATCTTTTCTCGTTGTCTTCCTCTATCCCTCCTTCCACAGATCTTTCCAGTGGTCACAACATGTTCCATTTTTCCTCTTCTCATAACATGGCCGAAAAATGATGACTGTCTCCTTCTGATGTCTGTGATTAGTTGTCTTCGGGCTCCCGCCTTTTTCAAAACCTCTTAGTTGCTTTTTTTGGCTGTCCAGGGTATTTTGAGCATTGTTCTGTAAAACTACATCTCTGAGGCCTCAAGCAATCGTTTACCCTGCCTACCGACTGTCCAGGACTCACAATGCCTTCCCTTTAAATATAAGTGCTTACTTAACAAGGCTAACAATGACTATTGTACAGACCACATTTTCCACTTTTAAATTTCAGCAAAAATGTAATCACAACCTTTATCCGCTGAACCTTCACGAATACAGATGGAGGATCGGTCGCACCTCGAGATAAATACAAAGACAATTTTAAGCACGCTGCGGTTGGCATTTTATGCAGTATGATACACTTTGGGTGTGAAACAAGGGAAACAACTCTTTTCTACAATGGTGAGGAACAACAATTTAAATTTTAACTTTTAAGTATCTTCATGCCTTCTTTAATAATGTCATAATTTATAGCCGACTTTTCTTGATTTTCACGCGGCACCCCTGGCACATGCACCCAGTTTGAGAACCTCTGCTGTAATGCCTCGGTCGAGTCAGCAGGCAAAGACCTTGCCAGCTGATGTACCACGCAACCGGGTCGCGGTTTCTCCCGCTACAACAGACTTAGGCAACAGCAACTATTGTAATAATGAGAGAGTTATTTCAGTCTATCGCAGTGTATACAAAACGGGTGTATGGTAACCACTATTCATTTTCAGCCAGACCACAAGTATTCGGCTAAATACCAAATAGTTATTAAGTTCACTATTCGGCCCCGAAGCGAATACGAAGCAAATATTCTGTACAGCCCTACTAGAAACACAGCACAAACAAAACCACTTGAGACTAAAAATATACTCACACATTAAAAACAATATGGCACTAAGAAATCTAGGAGACGGTGCACAAGCCAGACCAAATCAGGAGACATGTGCAAAAACCAGACATTCAGGAGACATGTGCAAGACATATATATTATATATATATATATATAAAGCCAGAGTCAGGAGACATGTGCATAAGCCAGAGTCAGAAGACATGTATACAGACCACACAGAGTCAGAAGACATGTGTACGAACCACACAGAGTCAGAAAACATGTACACAAGCCAGACTAAGAACAAAGACATGTGCACAAGCCAGACAGTGTCAGGAGACATGTGTACAAACCACACAGAGTCAGGAGACATATGTACAAACCACACAGAGTCAGGAGACATGTGTACAAACCACACAGAGTCAGGAGACATGTGTACAAACCAGACAGTCAGGAGATATGTACACAAGTGTGAGTCAGGAGACATGTATACAAGTGTGAGTCAGTCAGGAGACATGTACACAAGTGTGTTTCAGGAAACATGTACACAAGTGTGAGTCAGGAGACATGTACACAAGTGTGAGTCAGAAGGCATGTGTACAAACCAGACAGACTCAGGAGACATGTACACAAACCAGATTGAGTCAGGAGATATGTACACAAGTGTGAGTCAGGAGACATGTATACAAGTGTGAGTCAGAAGACATGTGGATAAGATAGACAAAGTCAGGAGACATTTGCATTAGAGACAAAGTCAGGAGACATGTGCATAAGCTAGACAAAGTCAGGAGACATGTGAATAAGCTAGACAGTCATGAGACATGTGCATAAGCTAGACAGAGTCAGGAGACATGTGCATAAGCTAGACAGAGTCAGGAGACATGTGCATAAGATAGACAGAGTCAGGAAACATGTGCATAAGCTAGACAAAGTCAGGAGACATGTGCATAAGCTAGACAAAGTCAGGAGACATGAGCACAAGCTAGACAAAGTCAGGAGACATGTGCATAAGCTAGACAAAGTCAGGAGACATGAGCACAAGCTAGACAAAGTTAGGAGACATGTGCATAAAACCAGACAGAGTCAGGAAACATGTGCACAAGCTAGACTTACCAAGAGTTATGTTATATGTAACCGAGCCTGTCACATCCAGGTCATCACATGTCACTGTCACCAGTCTCTGATTGGTGGAGTTTTCTGGCACTGTTACATTATATATGGACTTGGCACAAACCGGAGGGTTGTCGTTGACATCAGAAACTGTCACTGTCATTGTGCCGCTGACGGATCTGGCAGGTGTTCCTCTGTCCTGTAAGTGTAACATTGTACTGGTCACTATTACTGTGGGGATGGAAACATGGGACAGTCAAATAAACCAGTCAGTAGGACAGCAGACCAGGGAACAGTCAAACAAACCAGTCAGTGGAACAAATCATAGGACAGTCAAAGCAGTCAGTGGGACAGTCAGATAAAGCTGTCAGTGGGACTGCACACCATGGGACAGTCAGACAAACCAGTCAGTGGGACAGCAGACCAGGGGACAGTCAAACAAACCAGTCAGCGGGACAGCAGACCAGGGGACAGTCAAACAAACCAGTCAGTGGAACAAATCATAGGACAGTCAACGCAATCAGTGGGACAGTCAGACAAACCAGTCAGCGGGACTGCACACCATGGGACAGTCAGACAAACCAGTCAGCGGGACTGCACACCATGGGACAGTCAGACAAACCAGTCAGTGGAACAAATCATAGGACAGTCAAAGCAGTCAGTGGGACAGTCAGACAAACCAGTCAGCGGGACTGCACACCATGGGACAGTCAGACAAACCAGTCAGCGGGACTGCACACCAGGGAACAGTCAAACAAACCAGTCAGTGGAACAAATCATAGGACAGTCAAAGCAGTCAGTGGGACAGTCAGACAAACCAGTCAGCGGGACTGCACACCATGGGACAGTCAGACAAACCAGTCAGCAGGACTGCACACCATGGGACAGTCAGACAAACCAGTCAGCGGGACTGCACACCATGGGACAGTCAGACAAACCAGTCAGCGGGACTGCACACCATGGGACAGTCAGACAAACCAGTCAGCGGGACTGCACACCATGGGACAGTCAGACAAACCAGTCAGCGGGACTGCACACCATGGGACAGTCAGACAAACCAGACAGTGGGACAGTCAATATGACAGCACATCATCAAACAAACCAGTCCATGGGACAGTCAAACAAACCAGTCAGTGGAACAACAAATCATGGGACAGTGGAACAACAAATCATAGGACAGTCAAACAAACAAGTCAGTGGGACATACAAACAAACCAGTCAGTGGAACAGTCAAAGAAACCAGACAGTAGGACAGACAAACAAACTAGTCAGTGGGACAGTCAAACAAACCAGTCAGTGGAACAGTCAGTAGGACAGCTCATCATGGGAGTCAGACAAACCAGTCTAGGACAGCACACTATGGGACAGTGAGACAAATTCACTGTGACAGTCAGACAAAGTCAATGGTACAGCACACCATGGGACAGTCAGACAAACCAGCCAGAAGGAGAGTACATCATGGGATGATCAAACAAACCATCAATGGGACAGTGGGACAAAGTCAGTAGTACAGCACAACAAACAAACCTAGCAAGATGAGATAGACTGATACAAGATGAGGTAGACTGATACCAGATGAGATAGACTGATACAAGATGAGATTGATACAAGATGAGATTGATACAAGATGAGATAGACTGATACAAGATGAGATAGACTGATACAAGATGAGATAGACTGATGCAAGATGAGATTGATACAAGAGAGAAGACTGATACAAGATGAGATATACTGATACAAGATGAGATAGACTGATACAAGATGAGATAGACTGATTCAAGATGAGATAGACTGATACAAGATGAGATAAGACTGATACAAGATGAGATAAGACTGATACAAGATATGATAGACTGATTCAAGATGAGATAGACTGATAAAAGATGAGATAAACTGATGCAAGATGAGATAAACTGATGCAAGATGAGATAGACTGATACAAGATGAGATAGACTGATGCAAGATGAGATTGATACAAGAGAGAAGACTGATACAAGATGAGATAGACTGATACAAGATGAGATAGACTGATACAAGATGAGATAGACTGATGCAAGATGAGATAGACTGATACAAGATGAGATAGACTGATGCAAGATGAGATTGATACAAGAGAGAAGACTGATACAAGATGAGATAGACTGATACAAGATGAGATAGACTGATACAAGATGAGATAGACTGATACAAGATGAGATAGACTGATTCAAGATGAGATAGACTGATACAAGATGAGATAGACTGATACAAGATGAGATAAACTGATGCACCTCTACTCACAGGGCATCTAAAATTACATAAATTGATTATTTATTTCATGAATGAAGATGAATACAGCCCTAAAGTTGTGGATCACTAGGATACAATGATAGAAGCAATCAACACTTTCTCTTCTCATAATCCAAGTGGATGTTGACACAGAATATGCCACCTTAGGTGTTTAGTCCCATGTTGACACACAAGCAGATACCCTAGAGTCATCATCATCATCATGTAGCAGGTCCTTTGCAGAACGTCACTCTCAACACAGTCTGCCTGTAAGAAACTCGGTCTCTTGCCAGTTCTCCCACCTCATGAACTTTCACACTCAAGAAGTCACTTATATCCTGTGCCCATCTTCGTGTCGGTCAGCCCACCCCAGAGTACTAAAGTGAATTTTATCAGAACTATTTGTTGGCCAACATTATGCTATCAATGCCAAACGTGGACACTTACATCCTCTAATGAACGTAAAATTGTGACAACAGAGATGAAATGCCTTAGAAGAGCTGCAGGGAGTTTCAAGGAAAGACAGAATACAAAATCAGACGAATGCTAGGAATAAAGCCAGTCTCCCAAGTCATGAAAAAACAACAAATGAAGTTGTTTGGACACATATCAAGAATGACCTGGTACTATCTGCCACAGCAAGCCACACTAAAACGTTACAACGGGTATAGAGCGAATGGAAGACCTCAGAAAATATGGAGTGATGTCATTAAGAACAGCTTTATAGAAATGAACATCAGTCTTAATAGTGCTCTTGACAGAGCCCATCAACGAACATTACATCTCTCCCGACACTTCACTGAGGTACAAGGTGGAAGAGGAGAAGAAGAAGAAGAAGAAGAAGGAGAAGGTGTTCAGTGGTATACTTGAAGGAGGGTAACATTAAACGACACAGTCCACTGAAACACTTTTGGTTCTTGAGCGCAGGTGTTCTGGAGATACCTGGCTGTCACTGCTGGAAATATGGAGGTTGTTATTTGTGTAACACTTGTACAGAGGACCAGCCACCCTCAGAGATTGAATAATAGGGTGTCAAACCTGACAATAAAGTGGATTTTTCACCTGTACAGGAAATACGTGAAGATGCCCAAGTCAGCAAACAAGCCTGATACAGTTTTCCTAGCACTGTGAAAAGTGGATCTGTATTATAAATTGTTGTCAGAAAGGAATACAACATTTCTAACTACAACCAAACAATGGATCCAGGACACATAAGAGCACAGGACACAGCAAGAAGTGTGGGCCTGGCACCAGCAGTGGAGATATGGTACCCACTCACCTGGACTACCTTGCACCCACTTACCTGGACTACCTCACATCCACTCACCTGGACTACCTTGCACCCACTTACCTGGACTACCTTGCACCCACTTACCTGGACTACCTTGCACCCACTCAGCTAGACTACCTTGCCCAAACTCACCTGGACTACCTCACATTCTCTCACCTGGACTACCTTGCACCCACTCAGCTGGACTACCTTGCCCAAACTCACCTGGACTACCTTGCCTAAACTCACCTGGACTAACACACCCACTCACCTGGACTACCTTGCACCCACTCAGCTGGACTACCTTGCACCCACTCAGCTGGACTACCTCACACCCACTCACCTGGACTACCTTGCACCCACTCAGCTGGACTGCCTTGCCCAAACTCACCTGGACTACCTTGCATCCACTCACCTGGACTACCTCACCACCACTCACCTGGACTACATCACACCCACTCACCTGGACTACATCACACCCACTCACCTGGACTACCTCACACCCACTCACCTGGACAACCTCACATCCACTCACCTGGACTACCTCGCATCCACTCCCCTGGACTACCTGGCATCCACTCACCTGGACAACCACTATGAGGACATGCTTCTGCTCTCTCTCATAGTCTAATGACCTCTGCAGCACAAGGTCACCATTGCTGGGATTCAAGGTAAACAAGTTGTCAGAATTGCCGCTGGCTATCTGGAAGCTGAGTTGCTCTGGGAACAAGTATAACAAAACCTGTTAAAATACTCAAAATATGGAACAACTGTGAAATACTGGTTGCCAAAGACAAAGACGATGCGGCAAATAAACAAGCATCATGGTCAACACTGCTGAGGAAAGTCAGGTTCAGTCAAATCCAAGACCAAGGTTTTCCCAAAATACAAGGGCAAAATCAAATGAATGAATATAAAAGTCAACAGAACTTGCTGAAAACAATGACATTTTGAAGACAAGCACAATGACATTTTGAAGACAAGCACAATGACATTTTGAAGACAAGCAAACTCAGATATAGAGAAATAGTGAAAAAAAAACTAGCAAAACATCAGTTATACCTACTATATAAACCCATAAAATATAAAGAAACAGTGAAATAACAGCAGAACCTCAGTTATACCTACTACATAAACCTGTCAAAAATAGAAAAACAGTAGAACATTTTACATAAACCTTTCATACAGAGAAACAGTGAAATAACATTAAAACATCACTTAAACTTACTACATTAACCTGTCAAAAATAGAGAAATAGTAGAACATACTGCATAAACCTGTCATACATGGAGAAATAGTGAAACAACAATAAAACATCACCTATCATCAACATCATGTGATCTGCCAAACATCACTTACCTGTCATATATACAGAAACAGTAGAACATACCTACTAAATAAACCTGTCACATATAGAGAAACAGTGAAATGACAGTACAACATCAGTTATACCTACTGCACAAACCTTTTAAATATACAGAAAAAAAGTAGAAGATACCTACGACAAATAAGTGTCACATATACAGAAACAGTAAAACATACCCAAACAGTAGAAAATGCCCACTACAGAAAACTGTCACAGATAAAAAAAAACAGCAGAAAATCAGTAAAACAATCCAGAAAATATTATCTGTAAGTAACAGATGTAAAGAACTCACTGTTGACTCCTTCATCAATGTCGCTGGCTTTGATGGAGGTGATGGTGGTACCTGGTGCCGTGTTCTCAGGCACAGTGGGAGACTCCAGGGAGGTGATGTTCGGGCTATTGTCATTTGCATCTGTCATTTAGGAAAGACATTAATAAACATCACAATAATCAACAACCATGTTTGTTCTTTTTCAATTACTTTTATTCTGCTGGCATACAACACTTCTTTTTTTATCTCATCATTGCCATCATCATCACCATCATCATCTTTTCTTCCTTTCATCTCCACTCAAAAGTACTTACTGACAGAAAACTCTACTCAAAGGTACTCAGTGACAGAAAACTCTACTCAAAGGTACTCACTGAAAAAAAACAACTACTTGAAGGTACTCACTGACAAAAAAACACTCTACTCAAAGGCACTAACTAACAGAAAATTCTACTCAAAGGTACTCACTGACAGAAACTCTACTTAAAAGTATACACTAGTAGAAAACTCCACTTTACAAAAATGTACTCACTGACAGAAAACTCTACTCAAAGATACTCACTAACAGAAAACTCTACTCAAAGGTACTCACTGACAGAAAACTCTACTCAAAGGTATTCATTGACAAAAAATCAACAACTCTACTCGAAGGTACTCACTGACAAAAAAACTCTACTCAAAGGTACTCACTAACAGAAAACTCTACTCAAAGGTACTCACTAACAGAAACTCTACTTAAAGGTATACACTAACAGAAAACTCCACTCAAAGGTACTCGCTGACAAAAAACTCTACTTAAAGGTACTCACTGTAAGAAAACTCTACAAAAATGTACTCACTGTAAGAAAACTACAAAAAGGTACTCACTGACAAAAAAACTCTACTCCGATTTAGTCACTGACAGCAAACTCTACAAAAGGTTAGTCTTCAACAGAAAATTCTACAAAAAGATACTGACAGAAAACTTTACTCAAAGGTACTCACTGTAAAGAACCTCTACAAAAAGGTACTCACTGACAAAAAACTCTACTTAAAGGTACTCACTGTAAGAAACCTCTACAAAAAAGGTACTCACTGTAAGAAACCTCTACAAAAAGGTACTCACTGACAGAAAACTCTACACAAAGGTACTCATTGACAGAAAACTCTACTCAAAGGTACTCACTGACAGAAAACTCTGCTTAAAGGTAGTCACTGACAGAAATCTCTGCCCAAAGGTACTCACTGTAAGAAACCTCTACAAAAAGGTACTCACTGACAAAAAACTTTACTCAAAAGTACTCACTGTAAGAAACCTCTACAAAAAATGTACTCACTGACAAAACAAACTCTACTCAAAGGTATTCACTGTAAGAAACCTTTACAAAAAGGTACTCACTGTAAGAAACCTCTACAAAAAGCTACTCACTGACAAAAAAACTCTGCTCAAAGGTACTCACGGTAAGAAACCTCTACAAAAAGTTACTCACTGTAAGAAACCTCTACAAAAAGGTACTCACTGACAAAAAACTCTTTTCAAAGGTACTTACTGTAAGAAACCTCTACAAAAAGGTACTCACTGTAAGAAAACTCTACTCAAAGGTACTCACTGTAAGAAACCTCTACAAAAAGGTCCTCACTGACAAAAAACTCTACTCAAAGGTACTCACTGTAAGAAACCTCTACAAAAAGGTACTCACTGACAAAAAACTATACTCAAAGGTACTCACTGTAAGAAACCTCTACAAAAAGGTACTCACTGACAAAAAAACTCTACTCAAAGGTACTCACTGTAAGAAACCTCTACAAAAAGGTACTCACTGACAAAAAACTCTACTCAAAGGTAATCACTGTAAGAAAACTCTACTCAAAGATACTCACTGTAAGAAACCTCTACAAAAAGGTCCTCACTGACAAAAAACTCTACTCAAAGGTACTCACTGACAAAAAACTCTACTCAAAGGTACTCACTGACAAAAAACTCTACTCAAAGGTACTTACCAGTAACAATAAGACTGATATTGACTGTAGTTGACAATCTCAGTTTCGGGCCCTGGTCTGAGATAGTGACCATGATTGTGTAGGAAGATTCTGTTTCCCGGTCAAGGGTGCTCCCATCCTTCAGTCTGATGACACCAGACTTGTCAACAGTGAACAAGTCTTTTGGGCTAGATGCTGAATTGGGGCAGAATCACAGAGAACATGAAGTGATATCCATACAAACTGTAGGTACAGTTACATCAAACATTAATTAACAAATGCTTTCTGTGGTCTGGTGATTTCAGTCACAGGCATGAGGGAAAGTTGAAGCTGTTGTGATGTGACTAAAGAGTTAATCTGTACCTCGCCTTTGATGGTTTTACAGATCCTCATGCTGGATCCGCCATCACTACCGACGGTCAGCCTATGGATCATGCTGATATTATCAATGCCCTCAGAGAAATGGGAAGGATAGAGGACTTTGATGGCAGTGAATCCACATCACTCGCCAGAATGGCAGACTTGGGAATTAAGATCGGCACAGCAAAAAACGAGACGCACACCAGACACGCCAGAAGACTTGTCAATCAACATAGAACTGGTACTATTAGCCTTCGGACGATGGGGTTCATACTGAGGGGAGGATCTGAGCACCTATGGTCATGTCCGGAGTGCAATGAGGATAACCCAACTAACTAACTAACTAACTAACTAACTAACTAACTAACTAACTAACTAACTAACTAACTAACTAACTAACTAACTAACTAACTAACTAACTAACTAACTAACTAACTAACTAACTAACTAACTAACTAACTAACTAACTAACTAACTAACTAACTAACTAACTAACTAACTAACTAACTAACTAACTAACTAACTAACTAACTAACTAACTAACTAACTAACTAACAGATCCTCATGCAATACTCCTGCCACACTTCCCAGTCATGCACTGTGGATAATGGCTCAAATGAGAAAAACTGAGCTGTCAGGGGATCGCAAACTTAGTGGGGCCCCTGCAGAAATGCAGTGCACATAAATCCCTTGGCTTAAATCAGCCCACCCCCAACACATGAGGGAAAAGGTCTATCAAAACTCATTTGGAACATGAGTAAAACCAACTAGCCAAATATACTGCTAAATGTCATCCTTCGGTTAATGCGTCTGTCGAGTGAAAGAATTACTAAACTGCTGAGTCTCAGCTCTAGACCAAGAGATTTGCTCACGGCTCGGACAAGCAGTATCTCCTGCGGGTGGTATCTCGCTGTACTGTCCACTATCCGTACATTCTTTGTCAATCCCCAGCATCATCATCACTGTGTTGAGTTATGTACGACAATCTACCACTGTCAGTTTGCTCACCAAGCTCAAATATCCATCAAATACATGTCCTATGGCATAACAGCAAAGTCTTAAATGCTCAACCATCAAATGTTGAATGTTGAATTTAGAATCGACATCACAGCACTCGGGACACTCCCATAAGTGCTCAGTCACCATTTTTAGCAGCAAGCAAAGAGTTCCAATTCCGATGGTACCAGTAACTGCCTGATTATATATCCATCTCTTCCTTTCCCTGAGTGTTGAGTGTCAGCAAGATCCCCTGGTAACCCCGCGCAACACCACTCTTCTCAAACCGTAATGATCTATCTGTGCCTCTGCACTGTTCACCCGTTCCCAAAGGGTCCTCACAATATCTAAGTTGTCATACATCAATTTACCACCAAGTGGTGCGGAGCTAGCCAGTGCTCGACCATCAAAAGTCCTACTGCTTAGCAGAAAGGTTCAAATGACATCAGCTCCTCTCACCAGAATGTCAGTATCAAATAAGGGAAGTCACGCCTGATGCTTATTGGCCAGATGAAACAACGTTGCAGGTACTGAAGAAGAATGTACCGAACCTGGGGGCTGTTCCCTACATATCTGCGGAGGTTAATCAGTCATGTGCAGGGTGTGGTGATTCCATGGGTGAGCAGAGCAACAGGCATCATATATCGGCCCTGCATTTATGGAAGCCTCCTTGAATGACATGGGATCCTATGATAAGCCCCTGCCTTCCCTTGAGGGCCAACCAGTCTACGCATGGTTGTCCTGGATGGGTTCTCTAGGGGCAATACCTGGGATAAGGTGACAAAGAGAAGAGCCCACAAATAAGGCTACGCCATGTCCCACGAAACTATCTAGGAAGTTAACTTAGTCAACAAATGCTCGATGAAGTGTGTCAGCCGAAAGGCACAAAAATCGCAGCTTTACTGTAAACAGGCACAACCCAATTACGTCAATTGAAACGAATGAAAAGAAGAAGAAGAAATGCTTTCTAAGTTATTTTGTTTTGTAATATAGCCTTTTATGTCCATGCCCCTCCCAACCCTCTCCTATTTCTTGGCTTCATGTTGACCCTGTTTGTTTAGAAACTCTGTCACTTGCCTATTGTTCTCCAGTTACAGTCTGTACTGTATTTAGTACTCCACTTTTTAAAGACTTTGGTCAAAATTTTGGGTTCTGTTTGTATTTGCATCTTTTCCTATATCCTCAATTAAGCTTTCTAGTCAAATATTATGTTATTTAGCACCATCTGAGCTTCATACTTGCATTTTATGTTATTTAGCATATAATTTAACGCATTTTATGTTATTTAGCATATAATTTAACAATAGCTAGTTAACAAAAGGACAGCACATATTTAAAGCTCTTAGTGATGAAACAAGTTACACATAGCATAAGTTAAATTTTCCTCAAACCCACCTAACAAGGAAATCTAGAGACAACGGATAAATGCAAGTCATAAACTTTTTAGAAAAATTAGATGTGGACAGTCAATTTCAAAGCAATGTAACCTCATTGTAAATTTGAACAAAAAAGACAAATAATAGATTGCACAATTTATTGCCTGGCATATTTTCTTGAAGAATGCCTCACAATGGAATTTTTCTATCAGTTATTTCAAATTGCTGAGGGCTGATAAAATCTGCCCAACTGTAACATTGTTGAATTTGTAGTTATAAAGGGTTCACTTATCTGCTTCATTAATGTAATTGTTACTGTAGTATGCACCTGATGAGATACAGCGACAGTCAATATGTATTGGACATATTATGAGAAGGAATGGACTCAAGTACTTAGTAACAACTGGCAGGATTGATGGAAAGAGAATAAAAGGAAGGCAAAGAGATAAATACCTGGATAACCTAGCCAGACAGATGGGGCAAGACAAAAACACTGAACTGATCTGTGATTCTGGTGATCATGTGAGATACAGAAACTTGACAGCCTGCACTTACTGGCATAGCACATGTTGATGATGAAAAGATATAAAAGCTGAAGGAAAAGTAGATCAGCGAGCATACTATATAAAGAACACAAATGGAAAGTGAACGATGCTGCTACAGAGCCTTTATCAGGACATACATAAATCAAACAAACCACATGAATACGCATTCTTAGGATATTCACTCTGGGTTATGCAGCTGTCTTGGGAAATAAGCAGGCAGATAGACTGGCTGGTTCTGCACCACTTGGTGGTGAACTGATGCATGACAAGCTAGATGTTGTGAGCGCCGTTTGGGAATGAGTGAACAGTGTGGAAGCGCAAATAGATCATTACAGTTTGAGGAGAATGGTGCTGCGAAGAGTTGCCAAAGGATCTGGCTGATGCTCAAAACTCAAGGGAAAGGCAAGACGGATATACAATCAGACAGTTATGGTGCCATCAGAATTGGAACTCTTTCATTTGGTGCTGAAGATGGGAGTGGAGTGCTTATGGGAGTGTCCCGAGTTCTATGATTTTGATTCCTAATTCAACATTCAACATGAATATGCCTAATCACTTAACTGATGTATCCTGAAGCAGCCACATTGATGTCTTGCCAATGAAATAAAAAGACATGTGCAGCCCAAGAAGTAATAGCTTGAGAATGCCAAGGCCGTAAGTCAAGAATTTTTTAAAAACTTGACAGTTAAGTCCCCTAGGTGTTTATGTGCCCAAGATAAAAATAAAGTGATTTTCAAGGGACTTATGCCTCTTGTTACAGGAGTGGCTAGACTTATTGGCCATTACCTTTATGTTGTGGACACCTTGGTGATCCTTACAGTGGAAGTGCAATGGCACTGGTTTCAGTGTACCATTCTGCACTACCAAAAGATGTCAGACCTATCAGCCAGTCGTAGACCCATTCACCAATGTATTTCATGCCATATTCTAGCAGTTGATGGCGCAAATGACACTGCAGCTCGTGCAATAGAATGTCTCATATATATCATAGGTGGCATTTAGGTATTCCAGACTTTTCCATTGACCCACATATGGACAAGTCTTGCATACAGGTCTGTGGCAGGAAACCGTGCCGAAGTGGGACTTAGGCCATAACTGACTCTTGACCATAACGTCCTTAAGGTAAAGGTCATGTCCATAGTTCGGAGAAAATTGTGCTGGTGGCAGGGTCAGCCCTTAGGATGGAGAGATGCCTGAGGAGAGCATTTTTTTTGGGTACAGATGTTGTGAGGGTGGTAGGTAAGTGAGAGGCATAAGTTAAAGCATTGTTTAAACACACTAGATAAGGAAGTCTAGAGACAAACTGATCTACAACTTACAAATGGCATAAGTTAAAGCATTGTTTAAACACACTAGACAAGAAAGTCTAGAGACAAACAGATGTAACACTTACAAATGGCATAAGTTAAAGCATTGTTTAAACACACTAGACAAGAAAGTCTAGAGACAAACAGATGTAACACTTACAAATGGCATAAGTTAAAGCATTGTTTAAACACACTAGACAAGAAAGTCTAGAGACAAACAGATGTAACACTTACAAATGGCATAAGTTAAAGCATTGTTTAAACACACTAGACAAGAAAGTCTAGAGACAAACAGATGTAACACTTACAAATGGCATAAGTTAAAGCATTGTTTAAACACACTAGACAAGAAAGTCTAGAGACAAACAGATGTAACACTTACAAATGGCATAAGTTAAAGCATTGTTTAAACACACTAGACAAGAAAGTCTAGAGACAAACAGATGTAACACTTACAAATGGCATAAGTTAAAGCATTGTTTAAACACACTAGATAAGAAAGTCTAGAGACAAACAAACTGATCTACAACTTACAAATGGCATAAGTTAAAGCATTGTTTAAACACACTAGATAAGAAAGTCTAGAGACAAACAAACTGATCTACAACTTACAAATGGCATAAGTTAATGCATTGTTCAAGCCAGATGGATCATCATCATCATCCACACAGCGAAGTGTTTCAATGACATGGCCTGACAAGACAGACTCACTGACTGTCACAACATAGGAGCTGGTTCCACAGTTGGGAGTATGGTCATTGACGTCATCAATCACAACTGGAAATAAATCGCGTTTCTGTCATCAGACCAATTTTCACAATCCCACCAACAACAATCTCTCCAGTAAGATCAACAATCCCACCAACAACAATCTCTCCAGTAAGATCAACAATCCCACCAACAACAATCTCTCCAGTAAGATCAACAATCCCACCAACAACAATCCTATTAAAATCCATCAACAATCCCACCTGAAACAACAATCCTACCAACAATAATCAACAATCATCAACAATCCCACCAACAACCATCAACAATCCCACCAACAACCATCAACAATCCCACCAACAACCATCAACAATCCCACCAACAATATGAAAATCATACCAACAACAATCAACAATCACACTAAAAATAATCTTACCAACAACAATCCCACCAACAATAATGAGCAATCCCACCAACAAAAATCTCACTAACAAGATCAACAATCCCACCAAGAACCATCAACTATCCCGCAAACAACCATCAACAATCTCACCAAAAAACAATAATCCTACTAATATCAACAACCCCATCAACAACGTGAATATCCTCACAATCCCACCAACATCAACAAATCCACCAACAACATCACAATCCCACCAACATCAACAAATCCACCAATAACAACAATATCAACAACTATGAACAATCCTACCAACAACATCACAATCCCACCAACATCAACAAATCCACCAATAACAACAACATCAACAACTATGAACAATCCCACCAACAACATCACAATCCCACCAACATCAACAAATCCACCAATAACAACAACATCAACAACTATGAACAATCCCACCAACAACATCACAATCCCACCAACATCAACAAATCCACCAATAACAAAAACATCAACAACTATGAACAATCCCACCAACAACATCACAATCCCACCAACAGCACCACAATTCCATCAGCATCACAATCCCACAAAAATATCAACAATCCCACTAACATCAACAACCTCTCCAACAACTATCAACAATCCAGCCTACAGCTATCAACAATAACACCACAATATCAACAGTTCCACCAACAACCATCAACACTATCACCGGGAACCATTAACAACAACACAACATCAACAATTCTACTGACAACATAAAAATCATGCCAACAACCATCAAGCTTTTCCATCAACAACCATCAGTAATTCCACCAATAAGAAGATCAACAATTCTACCAACAACCGTCAACAACAACACTACAACATCAATAATCCTACTGACAACATAACAAATCATGCCAACATCACTCAACAATCCCACCAACAACCATCAGCAATCTCACCAATAACTATCAACAATTCCACCAACAACACCAACAATCACATCAACAATCCCACCAACAACACAAACATTAACAACCACATGAAAATACAGCTATGAACAAAATCATCCAAGCATCACCAGACAAGGACACAAACAGAGAACAAGGGAAGAGCGACTGAAACATGAAAATACACACATGACTAAATCATCTGAAATTCTACACACCTGAGAGAGAGAGTGAGCCAGTTCTGGGAGGTGTTCCCTGATCTACCGCCCTCACAGTCACATTGTAAGCTGGCACAGTTTCTCTGTCCAAACTTCGGATAAGAGTGACAATTCCAGACCTTGTGTCTATCACAAACAGACCTAATAGAAAAAAACCACAATTGCATGTTATCAGTAATGCATGTTATGCTTATATACAGATGTACAGAAAGAAATAATACATAAACACACCATGTATACACACACAATCATTCACACTCCAAACATACATGTACACATGTACTCTTATATACCAATAGGTATACAGACACAAGCACACTCATACACATACATACAAACATACAATCACGCTCCACATATATATATTTATTGTAGTGACCGTTTTCTATTGCAGTAGGCATTTTCTATTACAGCATGTGTTTTCTATTATATTTCATGATTTTTGTTAATATGAGCGTTTTCTATTACAGTTGGCGTTTTCTATTACAGTGCACATTCTCTATTAGAATGAGCTTTATTTATAAGTATTTTTCATGTTATAACTGTTCTGAAATGGCCAAAGGCAGAAAAGGGGTTGTATATCTTTTTATAGATAGTGACGAAAACTTTAGTGACAGTTCACTGATGGTGAAATAGGTGACAAAGATTGTGTGGGTGTGGACGACCCCCACTCTACAGTCACCGCATCAGCCAACACCACTAGTATATTTGTGGAACTGGTACATCTTGTTATCCATTGTCATATACTGATAAAACACTGGTGTGAGTGTGCTGCTCAGACCAGACAATGTAATGAGTGATTCCATGCACTTTGATGACACAGTTTATGTCACATAATAGCTTCAGAAACTAACCTTTACGCTTAGCAACACAGGAGTCACATTCCAATTTGAAGGTCAGGTTGAGTTTGTTTTAGAGAAAAAATCATAAAGGACAAAGTAATAAAAGATTATAATTCTCCAAGAGATGTTACCAAATCATGGCCGCAAAAAAGTAATTTTCACAAAAGAAGTCTGGTGATAATCCCGTCTGTTGAAAAGTAATGAATAAATAGATATTTCATTTTCTGCTCAAATTATCACCCTCTATGAACACTATTTTATACGGCACCTCCGGGATTGTCAGAAAGAAAAAACAATGTTAAAAATACACCTGATTCTAGGGCACATGTGTTTTACATTGAAGTCATTTCATGCACAGTAAAGAGACAAGAGCAATGATGAGTCTATGTTGCTGCGGAGAGGGCCCTCAGAGTGGATGCAGGTTTTTCTAACAAGATGCATTGACTCTACACCAAGTAATAAACTATGTAATGGCAGTTCCGGTACATACTGGTTTTCTCATGTGCACCAGAAATTACACTAGTTTTGGTGCTTATTTTCCAAGCGAGAAAATATCTTCCAGAATAGTTTTGGAGCTTTCTCAGCTTCGAGCTGGCTGTGGACTCAACAGAATGTCGCGGGGGATGGGCCTTAGTAGACTGGTCTAAGTCACTAGTGGAAAAGAACTTTTCATTCCCTAAAAAAGCTAAAGTGACCAATAAATGTCTGCCAGTGCCTCTCTGCCAATTGCCAAAGTTTAACAATTGTCCGATGAACCAACTGTAATCTTGTCACTCTGGTGATGAAGGTAGGTGGCTAATTTGCTACCCCTGGTTGATTTAGGTTCAAATCTAACAACAAAATGCAGGTGCATTATTGATGACAGTTTCAGGGCTGCCAATACATAGGTCATGTACACTGTTTTCTTTCTTTCCAGCAGAGATAATGGTGACACTTACCAATGGCTGCCTGCTCTTTAACTGAATTCTGTGATCTATACCATATTTGACAGTTAGTTGAAAATGTACTCCACCAGACACATAGTTAAAGCTCTACTGTAACAGACACATAGTTGAAGCTCTACTGTACAAGACACATAGTTGAAGCTCTACTGCACCAGACACATAGCTGAAGGTCTACTGTACAAGACACATAGTTGAAGGTCTACTGTACAAGACACATAGTTGAAGCTCTACTGTACCAGACACATAGTTGAAGCTCTACTGTACCAGACACATAGTTGAAGCTCTACTGTACCAGACACATAGTTGAAGATCTACTGCACCAGACACATAGTTGAAGCTCTACTGCACCAGACACATAGCTGAAGCTCTACTGTACCAGACACATAGTTGAAAAGCTCTACTGCTCTACTGTACCAGACACATAGTTGAAGCTCTATTGTACCAGACACATAGTTGAAGGTCTACTGTACAAGACACACAGTTGAAAATCTACTGCACCAGACACATAGTTAAAGCTCTACTGTACAAGACACATAGTTGAAGCTCTACTGCACCAGACACATAGCTGAAGGTCTACTGTACAAAACACATAGTTGAAGCTCTACTGTACCAGACACATAGTTGAAGCTCTACTGTACCAGACACATAGTTGAAGCTTTACTGTACCAGACACATAGTTAAAGCTCTACTGCACCAGATACACAGTTGAAGCTCTACTGCACCAGACACATAGCTGAAGGTCTACTGCACCAGGCACATAGCTGAAGCTCTACTGTAACAGACACATAGTTGAAGCTCTACTGTACAAGACACATAGTTGAAGCTCTACTGTACAAGACACATAGTTGAAGCTCTACTGTACAAGACACATAGTTGAAACTCTACTGCACCAGACACATAGCTGAAGGTCTACTGTACAAGACACATAGTTGAAGGTCTACTGTACAAGACACATAGTTGAAGGTCTACTGTACCAGACACATAGTTGAAGCTCTACTGTACCAGACACATAGCTGAAGCTCTACTGCACCAGACACATAGTTGAAGATCTACTGTACAAGACACATAGTTGAAGCTCTACTGCACCAGACACATAGTTGAAGCTCTACTGTACCAGACACATAGTTGAAGCTCTACTGTACAAGACACATAGTTGAAGCTTTACTGTACCAGACACGTAGCTGAAGGTCTACTGTACAAGACACATAGTTGAAGCTCTACTGTACCAGACACATAGCTAAAGATCTACTGTACAAGACACATAGTTGAAGCTCTACTGCACCAGACACATAGTTGAAGCTCTACTGTACCAGACACATAGCTGAAGCTCTACTGTACCAGACACATAGTTGAAGCTCTACTGCACCAGACACATAGCTGAAGGTCTACTGTACAAGACACATAGCTGAAGCTCTACTGTACCAGACACATAGTTGAAGCTCTACTGTACCAGACACATAGTTGAAGCTCTACTGTACCAGACACATAGTTGAAGCTCTACTGCACCAGACACATAGTTGAAGCTCTACTGCACCAGACACAGAGCTGAAGGTCTACTGTACAAGACACATAGTTGAAGCTCTACTGCACCAGACACATAGCTGAAGGTCTACTATACAAGACACATAGTTGAAGCTCTACTGTACCAGACACATAGTTGAAACTCTACTGTACCCGACACATAGTTGAAGCTTTACTGTACCAGACACATAGTTGAAGCTCTACTGCACCAGACACATAGCTGAAGGTCTACTGTACAAGACACATAGCTGAAGGTCTACTGTACCAGACACATAGTTGAAGCTCTACTGTACCAGACACATAGCTGAAGGTCTACTGTACCAGACACATAGTTGAAGCTCTACTGCACCAGACACATAGCTGAAGGTCTACTGTACAAGACACATAGTTGAAGCTCTACTGCACCAGACACATAGTTGAAGCTCTACTGTACCAGACACATAGCTGAAGGTCTACTGTACCAGACACATAGTTGAAGCTCTACTGTACCAGACACATAGCTGAAGCTCTACTGTACCAGACACATAGTTGAAACTACTGTACCCGACACATAGTTGAAGCTTTACTGTACCAGACACATAGTTGAAGCTCTACTGCACCAGACACATAGCTGAAGGTCTACTGTACAAGACACATAGCTGAAGGTCTACTGTACCAGACACATAGTTGAAGCTCTACTGTACCAGACACATAGCTGAAGGTCTACTGTACCAGACACATAGTTGAAGCTCTACTGCACCAGACACATAGCTGAAGGTCTACTGTACCAGACACATAGTTGAAGCTCTACTGCACCAGACACATAGTTGAAGCTCTACTGTACCAGACACATAGCTGAAGGTCTACTGTACCAGACACATAGTTGAAGCTCTACTGCACCAGACACATAGCTGAAGCTCTACTGTACAAGACACATAATTGAAGCTCTACTGTACCAGACAAAGAGTTGAAGCTCAAGTGCACCAGACACATACCTTAATCCATACTGACCCAGACACATACCTCAATCCATACTGCACCAGACACTTACCGGATCCATACTTTACCAGTCACATACCTGGATCTATACTGTACCAGACACATACCTGGATCTATGCTGTACCTGACACAAACCTGGATTTGTCTGCACCAGACACATGCATACCTGGATTCTTTCTGTACCAGACACATACCTGGATCCATACTGTACCAGATATTCCTGGATCTATGCTGTACCAGATACAAACCTGGATCTATACTGTACCAGATACAAACCTGGATCTATACTGTATTAGACACATGCATACCTGGATTCATTCTGTGCCAGACACATGCATACCTGGATTCATTCTGTACCAGAGTTGAAGCTCAAGTGCACCAGACACATACCTTAATCCATACTGACCCAGACACATACCTCAATCCATACTGCACCAGACACATACCTGGATCCATACTTTACCAGTCACATACCTGGATCTATACTGTACCAGACACATACCTGGATCTATGCTGTACCAGACACAAACCTGGATTTGTCTGCACCAGACACATGCATACCTGGATTCTTTCTGTACCAGACACATACCTGGATCCATACTGTACCAGACATACCTGGATCTATGCTGTACCAGATACAAACCTGGATCTATACTGTACCAGATACAAACCTGGATCTATACTGTATTAGACACATGCATACCTGGATTCATTCTGTGCCAGACACATGCATACCTGGATTCATTCTGTACCAGACACATGCATACCTGGATTCATTCTGTACCAGACACATGCATACCTGGATTCATTCTGTACCAGACACATGCATACCTGGATTCATTCTGTACCAGACACATGCATACCTGGATCTATGCTGTACCAGATACAAACCTGGATCTATACTGTATTAGACACATGCATACCTGGATTCATTCTGTACCAGACACATGCATACCTGGATTCATTCTGTACCAAACACATACCTGGATCTATACTGTACCAGACACATACCTGGATCTATACTGTACCAGACACATACCTGGATCTATACTGTACCAGACACATACCTGGATCTATACTGTACCAGACACATACCTGGATCTATACTGTACCAGACACATACCTGGATCTTTACTGTACCAGACACATACCTGGATCTATACTGTATCTGACTACACCATCAAGTCCTGCATCAGCATCAGAAGCATTAGCCTACAACAGACAAAAAGGAATATAGTTTTCGCTACACAAAACACGGTACAAGAACAGCATCAAATGCTGTATGAATGACAAATTGACAACTTAAAAAACATCAAAGACATGTGTATTAACAAAATCTTTTTGTGGACATAGATGTACAAAAATGTTTCAACATATTTTGTCCAAAATTGAAATGTCTATCAGTATGTATAATCAATATTTCCATGAAACATTGCAACGTCTATTAGTATGTATAATCAACATTTCCACAAAACACTGCAATGTCTATCAGTACATACTGATAGATGTTGCAGTTTTTGTGTGTGTGGAAATGTTGATTATCATATTTGCATATGAAACTCTGCTATGCCCATCAGTATGTATAATCACATCCAGCTGTATCTTTCAGTCCTGCCAACTGAACCACGGTACATTTTCGGGGAGTCCCCCTCGAAAATAGGTTACTGGCATTGTTTCCATGTTGCATTGTGTGACATCTTAATATGTTTACAAAGTCCTGTGTTCTAAACGTATTCGTATTACAAATCTACAAGTAGATATTGTAAAGTGGATATACAGCAATTTTAATTTTAATTTAAATTCACAGAAGACAGTCGTGTTGTGAAATGTGTGTCACTGTTTCTAGTCAGTAGTTCGGATTTTTTAGAACTGGCTGTTTATTACTTTTCTACTTTAAATGTAGAAATCTTACTTTTAGGGATAATACAAACAGGTAATTTAGAAGCCATATCTTGAGAATATCAACAGTTGTCAGGTGCAAACTATCTTGTGTTTGAAGAAAACTATTGCTTTCATATTGACTGTGCATAAATGGTGCAACCACACTGTGGATAAATTGTGTCAAGATATTTCCGAGCTCTAGGTAAGTGAATGAAAATAATATTTAATTTACTAACTAACCTCTCACAGCAAGTCACTCTTTGCCTCTTTACTAATTGTTGACTAACAGTATAATCATATGTTGTAGCAGTACACTAATAATATTAATCCTTAACCAATTGACTTATGCTTCGCGAACACTGGCTGTAAACTCTTGCGGAAACTTCTGGTAGTTAAACGACTTCTTTTGCATATTTGCATTTGTACGGTTTGTTAATTTTTGTAAACTGGCTTCTGCTTTGCTTCGCGAACAATGGCTGTAAACTCTTGCGGAAACTTCTGGTTGCTCATTGACTTCTTTTGCATATTTGCATTTGTACGGTCTGTTAATTTTTGTAAACTGGCTTTTGCTTTGCTTCGCGAACACTGGCTGGAAACTCTTGCGGAAACTTCTGGTTGCTAATTGACTTCTTTTGCATATTTGTAGTTGTACGGCCTGTTAGTTTTTGTAAACTGGCTTTTGCTTTGCTTCGCGAACACTGGCTGTGAACTCTTGCAGAAACTTCTGGTTGTTCATCCACTTCCTATGCATATTTGTTACCAAAAAATTTGCAATGGTAAGGAATTGATTTCATCCAACAAGATGAAACTGGACAAATTTGTTTGTGCTGTTTGTACCTTGAGGATACATATTTAGTAGTGCTATAAGTACTGTTAAGAAAACTACTCTGGGTGAAAAAAGTATTGCACATATCAATTTCATACTGATTGTGCTTATTTACTAATTATTAAATAACAGTATAATTATATGTTGTAGTAGTCTACTAATAATGATAATAATAACCATGAATTTTTTATATTTATGTTATGTATGATATGTGTATGTTTCATAGCAGTATTTTTATGCGCTAAATTTGATAAAGTACAAATGTCACCTCCCGCCCCCTCCCCCTCCTTCCGCCCACTCCTCTGATGCAACAATACCCTCTCAGAATCAAAGAGTAAGCACTGATATTTCTTTACTTTTGCTGGAACAACTTTTAGTTTACATCTAAACGTTATTGATGTTTATGTTCATGTTGACTGTAGCAAAAGCATTTTTTGTTTGTAAGAGCCTTCATTGTTATATTTAATTGGCACACTTATTTACCGTAAAAATGACGTATAGTTCTCAATAATATGTAGGAAATTAATGAAGCTGTAGTTTAATTTGCGTATACATCTCCTCGATAAAAACTGTGGACGCAGAGGGACTCAGTTCTTGCACAAGAAGGGAATTCCTGTTCGAGCTGTTCGGCCTTATAAAAATCTGGAGCTGGCCGTGGTATAATCAACATTTCCACATAAAACTGCAATGTCTATCAGTATGTATAATCAACATTTCCACAAAAAACTGCAATGTATATCAGTATGTATAATCAACATTTCCACAAAAAACTGCAATGTATATCAGTATGTATAATCAAAATTTCCACAAAAAACTGCAATGTATATCAGTATGTATAATCAACATTTCGACAAAAAAACTGCAATGTATATCAATATGTATAATCAACATTTCCACACAAAAACTGCAATGTATATCAGTATGTATAATAAACACTGCAATGTTTATTAGTATGCACGATCAACATTTCAATGAAATACTGTAATGCTTATCAATTTAATATTTTAAATATTTTCTTTATACACTGCAATGTCTATCATTATGTATTATTAATGTAAGTAAGTAAAATGTAAAGCAATCCATGTCCAGCAGGTAATGTGGTCAGTATGATGCCTGCCTCTTTTACTTCCAATAAAATTTCCTGGTGCTCATTTTAAAACTGGCCTGACCTGGGAGCCCTGGTAAATATAAAATTCCAGCTATTGGAGATTATATTTGTGTCTTCTTTGTTCAAATTCACATCGGGGAAACATTGCTTTGATTATTGGAGATTAGTAGACTGACCATGTACTGACCACATGTGGTCACCATGGGATCCCTTGTCAATGTAATAATCATAGTTACACAGCTCTTCAGTACACTTGGAAGGCAATAGTTTTATTTTAAACATTCTTAGATAGTATGTAGTACAGTTGAAAGGCATCTGACTTACTGTAAACACAACTGTTGTTGCAGGAGCATTTTCTTCAACATGAACAACGGCCGTGGAGACAGGGAACATTGGAGTATGTTCGTTGACTGGCAGCACCTGGATGGAGCAGGAGGCTGTGGTGTTGTAGTCACCATCTGTTGCTCCGACAGTCAGGATATAACTGGTGGTTCTCTCAAAGTCTACTGGCTTCACCAACTCAATGACTCCACTGGGCAGAACCCTGGACAGTAATCGACAAATGAAACAGTTTCAAAACCATGAAAGTTCTTTAACTATCAGTATGGCAGCTCATCTATTGTTGTTTATGCTTGGCGGAAAGAAAATATAAATTCGGACCAAGATAAAAATGTTGTCAGTAACTTTTATTATTTTAAACATAATATGCACTGCTGCAAGTGTCTCAGACATGGCTGCATGTTACTACATTGTGAAATGATATAGAGATCGTTGATTGTGACTCCACAAGAACAGATTAACTCTTTAAGGCCCAAACAACGGTGTGAGCGTAGTTTGAGAAGTTCCGTTCTGCAAACAACTGTGTCATCGTCAATTGTGTATCTCTTACATTTTGCTTCGCACGTGCGTTCGTACTAGTTTCTAATGTTTGGAGGTACGAATAACCTATTCAGGGAAAGTCACTCTGCCGAAATCCTTTTAGTTTCATTTCTTGGACTAAACCACACGTGGATAATTTGAGAGAAAGAAACATCACATTTTTTTTTAACAGTTCATTTTCTAAGTTTGTTTTTGAGTGCACTGAATACCAATGTTCTAACCACAAGAACACAACTATATAACCTATCCAAAACCTTTTGTCTTAAGTTGATAGTCATGTCTATCCAAAACCTTTTGTCTTAAGTTGATAGTCATGTCTATCCAAAACCTTTTGTCTTAAGTTGATAGTCATGTCTATCCAAAACCTTTTGTCTTAAGTTGATAGTCATGTCTATCCAAAACCTTTTGTCTTAAGTTGATAGTCATGTCTATCCAAAACCTTTTGTCTTAAGTTGATAGTCATGTCTATCCAAAACCTTTTGTCTTAAGTTGATAGTCATGTCTATCCAAAACCTTTTGTCTTAAGTTGATAGTCATGTCTATCCAAAACCTTTTGTCTTAAGTTGATAGTCATGTCTATCCAAAACCTTTTGTCTTAAGTTGATAGTCATGTCTATCCAAAACCTTTTGTCTTAAGTTGATAGTCATGTCTATCCAAAACCTTTTGTCTTAAGTTGATAGTCATGTCTATCCAAAACCTTTTGTCTTAAGTTGATAGTCATGTCTATCCAAAACCTTTTGTCTTAAGTTGATAGTCATGTCTATCCAAAACCTTTTGTCTTAAGTTGATAGTCATGTCTATCCAAAACCTTTTGTCTTAAGTTGATAGTCATGTCTATCCAAAACCTTTTGTCTTAAGTTGATAGTCATGTCTATCCAAAAACCTTTTGTCTTAAGTTGATAGTCATGTCTATCCAAAACCTTTTGTCTTAAGTTGATAGTCATGTCTATCCAAAACCTTTTGTCTTAAGTTGATAGTCATGTCTATCCAAAACCTTTTGTCTTAAGTTGATAGTCATGTCTATCCAAAACCTTTTGTCTTAAGTTGATAGTCATGTCTATGCAAAACCTTTTGTCTTAAGTTGATAGTCATGTCTATCCAAAACCTTTTGTCTTAAGTTGATAGTCATGTCTATCCAAAACCTTTTGTCTTAAGTTGATAGTCATGTCTATCCAAAACCTTTTGTCTTAAGTTGATAGTCATGTCTATCCACAACCTTCTGTCTTAAGTACTTTTAATCAACTTTGACACAGCTGATCCTCCATACCATGAAGTCAAACTGTCCAGCAATTGTTTTTTTTTCACGGTCTCCCTCTGCCTCTCCATTCCTTCAACTTTCCTACTCTCACAATGTGCTCCAGTTTTCTCCTTCTCATCACATGACCAAAGAATGTAAACTCTCTTTCTGATGTGGGCAATCAGTTCTTTTCGTGAGGCAGTTTTCTTTTTCAAGGTGAATCCTCATTAATCCTTTTATCTGTCAACGGTTTTCTCATCATTTTTCTATAAAAGCACATCTATGCAGCTTCCAAATAAAGATTAGTAAAAATGAGCTGTTTGTGCATGTATAATAAGACACTCTACAGACCTGATGAAGCTCAACTAAAACAGCAGCTTTTCCACTCTCATCTTTCGGTTATTACTTTTACTGACTTCAAGTAGATGTCACTGGTTTAAGCATGATAAATATTGCTTGAACATGATACAGCTGGCTTCAACTTGATGTTACTGGGTTAACTCTTTCAGTCCCAGAAACACATCATACGTTTATAGTTCCTACTTAAAAAATTCAATGAACACAAGATACGCCAATTTTACTTCTTTCTTTACCACCCCTTGGGACACTGATACTAAATACCCTGGGACTGAAAGAGTTAAAAGAGTTAACTACAGCCCTTACCTAAAACAACCTTCTGTGTTGCCAGCTTGTATTGTGAAAGTGATGTTGCTAAATCTGGGAGAAGCATCTTTATCTATGGCTGACACAGTGACAAGTGAACTGCCCACTTCTGCATCTTCAGCCACTGTTGTCTGGTACGATGATGGTAAAAACCTGGGTCTGATAAAGGGGATACAATTCAAAAATGTAGTTGTGTGTGCATATCTCTATTACATTTGTAATTGTGTGTACACATCTCTATATAATTTGTAGTTGTGTGTACATATCTCTATCAAATTTGAATTTGTGTGTACATATCTCTGTCACATTTGTATTTGTATGTACATATCTTTATCAAATATGTAGTTATCTGTACATATCTCTATCACATTTGTAGTTGTGTGTACACATCTCTACATAATTTATAGTTGTGTGTACATACCTCTGTCAAATATATAGTTGTATGTTTATATCTCTAACAAATAAGCAGTTTGTGTACATATCTCTACAAAATGTGCAGTTGTGTGTACATATCTCTACAAAATGTGTAGTTGTGTGTACATATCTCTACAAAATGTGTAGTTGTGTGTACATATCTCTACAAAATGTGTAGTTGTGTGTACATATCTCTACAAAATGTGTAGTTGTGTGTACATATCTCTAAACAATTTGTAGTTGTGTGTACATACGTCTATCATATTTGTAGTTGGGTGTATATACCTCTAACAGATATGTAGTTGTGTGTACATAACTCTATACAATTTGTAGTTATGTGTACATAACTCTATCAAATTTGTAGTTGTCTGTACATCTCTGTCAAATATAAAGTTGTGTGTACATTTCTCTATCACATTTGTAGTTGTGTGTATATATCTCCATCAAATATGTAGTTGTGCGTACATATATCTATCACATTTGTAGTTGTACATACATATATCTATCACATTTGTAGTTGTGCATACATATCTCTAACATATTTGTAGTTGTGTGTACATATCTACATCAAATATGTAGTTGTGCGTACATATATCTGTCACATTTGTAGTTGGGTGTACATATCTCTAAACAATTTGTAGTTGTGTGTACATATCTCTAAACAATTTGTAGTTGTGTGTACATATCTCTAAACAAATTTTTAGGGTTTGTGTTTTTACAATTTGCTAAAGGTATAAGTGTGAATTTCTACTCCAAATAGGTGAAGATCATTTATTACTTTTCATGCAACTAGACCATTTTCATGAGTGGATGCAGCAAGGAGGGATGTAGGAGAAGAAGACAATGATGTAGTATAATCAGTGTGATGTGGGAACAGCATCTACACATAAGAGGTTTGGTATGGGAGACGGAACATCTATGGGTATGCCCTATGTGCTATGATGTCGATTTTTAAATCAGTAATTAATGATGTTTTAGATGGATTTCAATATTCAAACATGACTGTCCACAAATTAAGCATTGAAGACCATGCTGATCTTGACCAATGATGTGAGGGTATCTGTCTGATCTTCAGCTTAGAGAGACTGAGCTCTGTAAAATGCAGGCAGGATAGCACAGAAGGGACAACTGTTCAAATCATCATCATCATCAGGTGCCTTGCCGACTGGCATGGGCGATCATGCCTCTCCATAATCTGCGATCACCTGCAGCATGTATCAGTTCATGTGCCGACACACCTCCATGCCATGCAACAAGACTGTCAAGCATCTTCTCTCGTTGTCTTCCTCTATCCCTTTTTCCTCAGAACTTTCCAGTGGTCACAACATGTTCTATTTTCCCTCTTCTCATAACATGCCCAAAAAATGATGACTGTCTTCTTCTGATATCTGTGAAAAGTTGTCTTCGGGCTCCCGCCTCTTTCAAAACCTCTTGGTTGCTCTTTTTGGCTGTCCAAGGTATTCTAAGCATTCTTCTGTAAAACCACATCTCTGAGGCCTCTAAAAATTGTTTGGCCTGCCTACTGATTGTCCAGGATTCACATCCATATGTTAAAACAGCACCAGAATACTCACATCTCATCATTACAATCTAGAATATTCACTGTGATGTTAGAGCATGCAGATCTGATGACTGGCCGAGGCGAGTCACTGACACAGACTGACAGGTTGTAGACTCCGCCCACTGTCTCATAGTCAGGGGCCGGGGCTTTCAGCCGTACTGCTCCCGTCTCTGCCAAATAAGAGATATATTGTTGTGTGCAATTATGTTTCATAAGATCACTTCAGTAATTACTTTTCATAAGATCACTTCAGTCATTACTTTTCATAAGATCACTTCAGTCATTACTTTTCAAAAGATCACTTCAGTCATTACTTTTCAAAAGATCACTTCAGTCATTACTTTTCAAAAGATCACTTCAGTCATTACTTTTCAAAAGATCACTTCAGTCATTACTTTTCAAAAGATCACTTCAGTCATTACTTTTCAAAAGATCACTTCAGTCATTACTTTTCAAAAGATCACTTCAGTCATTACTTTTCAAAAGATCACTTCAGTCATTACTTTTCAAAAGATCACTTCAGTCATTACATTTCAAAAGATCACTTCTTCTACAGTAGTACTTTATACCACTTCTGCAATTATTTTTTGTAATATTACATAAAAATTACTTTTTGTAATATCAATTAAATAATTACTTCTTATAATATTACTTGTACAGAAGTATTTTATGTCACTTCTGCAATTAATTTTTTGTAATATTACTTTTCTTAATATAATTTAAATAAATACTTTTTATAATATCCCTTTTACAATATAATTGAATATCAAGCTCAGATGTTACACACTGGTGTAATGTGAACTTACAGACTGGTATAGTCTAATAGTTGCGTATCCTTTACAGGACGTTGCAGAACCAACCCCAACAGTCCCTGGCTGTTGCGTGGTTTCTCTTGGCAAATTTAAGTCCAGTAGTTTTTCATTGCTTTCTGGACAGTCGGCTTTCTTGATACCACTGTCGAAACCAACGCAAGGTGCATGGCCCACAGCTGGGATCAAACCCGGCATCCCGCATTACGAAGCTCAAGTCTAATAGTAAATGTATAAAAAAACCCACTGAACTCTTTGGGTTCCAGGAAACTCATCAGGCGCTAATTGGTTACAACACAGCCGCCCAATCGATGTGTGTTAGAAGGTTTCTAATTTACCACTGACCGGTAATAAAACTTAGATCGCTCAGTTTCAACTTCCTTTTGAGTTCTTTGTGTCTGATATCAGGCATGCTAATTTATAAATGTGGTCTAAAAGCCGAAAATGTAGTATTTTTGCGAGGTTTACGGAGTTACTAAGTGTTTGTTTGAAACAATATGGCCACTGAGCAGTATTCTACATGCGCGCCAACAGGGTTTACGGCTTGGAAGCCTCAAATTTAAAAAAAGCATGCGTTTATTAGATTTATCTGCAGTTAGATAGATGAAGTTGCAAAGTAGACTTGTTTAAGTCATTTATAGAGTCAAGCTTTGATGAGGGATAGGTCTAATATGTACCTCACGCAAAGGGTACAAAGATAGAAAGTCAGCTGGCACAAATAGAATAAATACTAGTGAAAAGGCAATTTTCTTGTGTCAGTTAGTTCCACTGCTATTCTCCTTATCATTTAAGAACATAGCTACAAAATTACATGCATACTGAGTGTTATATAAATTTAATTTAGTGTGAAGATACTGCTTTATAGTCGGTTTTCTTTATGAAATAATGGCGCTCTGTTATGATGCTTTAAAAGATTTGCCGGAACAGAGATTGATTTAATATTTTACTTTTACATTACTAAGTGGTTCATATTCATTTGTGATTCAGTTTGGATATATTTTAGCTAGTTTTCCTTGAGTGGCATGGTGGTAAGTGGAAATTTTTAAATTTCATGTTACTAATTTCTGTAAACATACCATCTGTTTATTCACTTATATTTAATTACTAACAAAATTATTTATTGTAGCAGTATTCTATTATTTTTACCCAACAATCCCTGGTCACTTTGATGTATAATATAACAAGTATAACATGTTGCTTGGCAGTTGAATTAGTATTGTCTGTTTTAATGTGTTCAACTTGTGAAATTAAATAATTGCATTACCACCCCTTGGGCCTCTGATGCTAAAACCCCTGGGACTTAAAGAGTTAAATGGTAATGTAAAAAATATGCAAATTTAATAGATTACCTGGCGTAATGTAGAAGTACGGGTTATCTGACAAGGTGTAGGTGAGTTTATCACTGGGGCCATCGTTGCTAGCGGCAACCACTGTATACAGAACAGTACTCCCTACAGTGGTGTTTTCAGGAAGATCAAAGGTCAAGAGCTTAGTAAATGACGGGTCATTGTCATTAAGATCAATGACATTCAGCCTGATTGTGATGTTTGTAGTCAAGGCTGGTAATCCATTATCACTGGCCTGAGAGAAGAACATACTTTCTAGAAGCAACCACTATTCTAGGAACAAACACATTTTTTAATATAGCAGGTCTCACACTTGTGTGAAAAGACTTGATATTTGAATAATATCCACATAAAACTGTTGTGTGAACAGACCTGATATAGGGAATAATATCCACATAAAACTGTTGTGTGAACAGACCTGATATAGGGAATAATATCCACATAAAACTGTTGTGTGAACAGACCTGATATAGGGAATAATATCCACATAAAACTGTTGTGTGAACAGACCTGATATAGGGAACAATACTAACATAAAACTTTTGTGTGAAAAGACCTAATATAGGGAATAATATCCATATAAAACTGTTGTGTGAAAAGACCTGACATAGGGAATAATATCCATATAAAACTGTTGTGTGAAAAGACCTGATATAGGGAATAATATCCATATAAAACTGTTGTGTGAAAAGACCTGATATAGGGAATAATCTCCACATAAAACTGTTGTGTGAGAAGATCTGAAACAGAATAATATCCATATAAAACTGTTATGTGTGAAGATCTGACATAGGGAATAATGTCCATATAAAACTGTTGTGTGCGAAGATATGACATAGGGAATAATATCCATATAAAACTGTTATGTGAGAAGATCTGACATATGGAATAATCTCCATATAAAACTGTTATGTGAGAAGATCTGACATATGGAATAATCTCCATATAAAACTGTTATGTGAGAAGATCTGACATATGGAATAATATCCATATAAAACTATTGTGTGAGAAGATCTGACATATGGAATAATCTCCATATAAAACTGTTGTGCGAGGCAATAAATCAAATTTTCCTTGTTGAGCTGCTTGTGTTACGAAGGGTCACAGAAACAAAACAGTGTCTAAAGAACATGAAGACAGTGTCTAACAAACATGAAGACAATGTCTAAAAGACAGTGTCTAACAAACAGGAAGACAGCGTCTAAGTAACATGAAGAAGACTGTCTAAAAAACCTGAAGACAATATCTAACAAACCTTAGTACAACAAAATAAAGGGACATCTGAAAAAAAAAAATATGGAGTAAGTATCTAAAAAATGTGAAGACAGTGTCTATCAAACCTATAGACAGTGTCTAACAAACATGAAGATAGTATCCAACAAACATGAAGACAGTATCTAACAAACATGATGACAGTGCCTAGCAAAGTCAGTGTCCAACAAACCTGAAGGCAGAGACTAGTAAAAATAAAGACAGTGTCTAACAAACCTGAAGACAGTGTCTAACAAACTTGTATACAGTATGTAACAAACATGAAGAAAGTGTCTAATAAATATGCAGTATCTAACAAATATAATGACAGTATTAACAAACAGAGATAGTGTCTAACAAGGATGAAGACAGTGCATGACAAACATGAAGACAGTGTCTAACAAGCCTGAAGACAATGTCTAACAAACATAAAGACAGTGTCTAACAAAGATGAAGACAGTGTCTAACAAACCTGAAGACAGTGTCTAAAATATCTGAAGGCAGTATCAAACAAACATCAAGACAGTGTCTAACAAATATAAAGACTGTCTAACAAGCCTGAAGACAGTGTCTAACAAAGATGAAGACAGTGTCTAACAAGCCTGAAGACAGTGTCTAATAAACCAGAATATCTAACAAATATAAAAACAGTATGTAACAAACATGAAGACAGTGTCTAACAAACATTAAGACAGTGTCTAACAAACATAAAGACAGTATCTACAGAATCTGAAGACAGTATCAAACAAACATCAAGACAGTGTCTAACAAATATAAAGCCAAATGTAACAAACCTGAAGACAGTGTAACAAGCATGAAGACAGTGCCTAATAAACCTGAAGACTGTATCAAACAAATATCAAGACAGTGTGTAACAAGCCTGAAGACAGTATCTAACAAACCTGAAGCAGGATCTGGTAGGTTGGAGAGGTCTCATAGTCCAAGGGTGTGGGCAGAGTAAGGAATCCATCCTTGGAGACAGCTGGCTGGATGCTAGGGGGGCTGGTCCTGCAGCAAGGGAACACTCGATCAGTTTGGTCAAGATCTCATAATATCAGTTTTACATAACTCAGAGAGTACGACCAGCTAGTCTGTCTGTCTGTCTTTCTGACTGTCTCTAGTATCTGCCATGTTAAGAAGCATCTCATCTAATGTCACCTGACAACCTACGCGACGAGGAATGATTACCCACTGGATGTTATGTGACAATAATTCTGATGTTTGAAAACCCTCTTGACAGTGCATAACAAATGCCCAAATAAAGGGAAGCAACCCATATGATGGTTTATGGAAACCCCTTTGATGATGTTTGACAACCCACATAATAGTGTATGGAAGCCCATTTGATGATGTTTGAGAACCCACATAATAGTGTATGGAAGCCCATTTGATGATGTTTGAGAACCCACATAATAGTGTATGGAAGCCCATTTGATGATGTTTGAGAACCCACATAACAGTGTATGGAAGCCCATTTGATGATGTTTGACAACCCACATAATAGTGTATGGAAGCCCATTTGATGATGTTTGAGAACACACATAATAGTGTATGGAAGCCCATTTGATGATGTTTGACAACCCACATAATAGTGTATGGAAGCCCATTTGATGATGTTTGACAACCCACATAATAGTGTATGGAAGCCCATTTGATGTTTGAGAACACACATGATAGCGTATGGAGGCCTATTTGATGTTTGACAACCCACATGATGGCATAAGGAAGCCCATTTTATGATGTTTGACAACCCACATGATGGTGTATGTAAGCCCATTTGAGGATGTTTGACAATCCACCAGATGATAACATTCCCTGATAATAGATGATGACCTCCTTAATGACATAATATGTGCTGTAATCAACTATTGACGGCTTACAATACCTAGTTGATGATTATATGTACAACAACCCAGCTTTACAGTAACCCAGCTGACACACATAATAAACATGTGATAACCCACCTGACTACAACATAGGATACTTTGCTGGAGATGTCAACATCGGAGCATACAATTCGAGTCAGATTGGTCTCGCCCTCAACCTTGTCCAGGTAGAGGGAGCGGGGACACAAGGGGGAGTTGTCGTTGTCATCGTCCACTAAACACCACCACAGTTCCTGTACCGGCTCTGGCAGGGGTGCCTTTGTCTGCAACATCACATACAAGGATGACATTTACACACATATACAAGAGTGATATTCACATGTACACAATGGTGATTTTCACACACACACACACATACAAGGGTGATATTCACATGTACGCAATGGTGATTTACACACACAAGGGTGACATTCACACACAAGGGTGACATTCACATACAGGAGTAACATTCACACAGCATTAACATTCACACAGCATTAACATTAACACAGCATTAACATTAACACAGCAGTAACATCGCACACATGGGCAATTTTCACACACACAGGTGACACTCACACACACCAGTGACATTCATACACACCAGTGACATTCACACACACTTGTGATATTTACAAAAAAAGTTGATATTCACATACAAAGTTGACATTTACCCACATAGGTGACATTCACACTCATAGGTGGCATTCACACTCATAGGTGGCATTCACACTCATAGGTGGCATTCACACTCATAGGTGGCATTCACACTCATAGGTGGCATTCACACTCATAGGTGGCATTCACACTCATAGGTGACATTCACACTCATATGTGACATTCACACAAGAGTGATATTAGATTCATCAATATGTGTGTATGGAACCAGTGTGCATTTGAATGTACATGCATCTATGGATGTTATTAGACATGGAAGATGATGAATCCAGTAATGGTTACAATCATGTTCAAGATGTTTTGGAAGATGAAACAATCATGTTTAAGATGTTTTGGAAGATGAAGCAATCATGTTCAGGATGTTTTGGAAGATGAAACAATCATGTTCAGAATGTTTTGGAAGATGAAACAATCATGTTCAGGATGTTTTGAAAGATAATACAATCATGTTTAGGATGTTATGGAAGATGAAACAGTCATGTTTAGGATGTTTTGCAAGATGAAACAATCATGTTTAGGGTGTTTTGGAAGATGAAACAATCATGTTCAGGATGTTTTGGAAGATGAAAAATCTATGTTCAGGATAAACACAAAACCAACCCACCAGTGGCTGTGATCTCAAAGGCGAAGACTGTGTCCCCGCTGTCAAAGTCCAGGCTGTTTAACAGACGTATATTGCCTCGAGGTCCAGTCTGCGTGAGGTCAAACTTCTCCTGGGAACTGACCAGTTGAAGTGTAAACTCTCCATCTAGTCCTGGGTCCTCATCTTTGGCGGTCACCTGGAAGCAACACCAGACTGAGTCAACTGGAAGAGAGTAGCTCCTTACTGCCACTTATTCTGACAGCTAATGCTGTTCACATATGGCAAATGTTTAGGAGAACCAAGTGATGACTGTGAATCTGAAACCACGACCACACTGCAAGAACAGCATGTTAAAAGGGATGTGGCCATAAAAGAGCATTATGCAGGAAGCCAAAGAAGAATCAGAAACCAACACAGGACTGGTGTCGTCAGCTGCTGCACGCTGCGGGATTGACTGAAGAGGGGATCTGAGCACCTATGGACTGAATGGTTCAATGTGCACTGAGGATAATCTGTTGACAAACTAACATAAGGAAGAGTAGTCATTTTTTCAGTCTGAGCTACAGCGGCCATCACCTCATTAACAGAACATCAAGCAGCACTTGGGACAGCAAACAGCAAACAGGATATCAAAAAGCACATGGGAAATGAAAAGGTGCTTGGGACATGAAGCAACACTTGGGATATCAAACAAACACCGGGACATGAAACAGCACACATAATATCAAGAAGCACATGGGACATCAAGCAGCACATGGGACATGTGGTGGAACTTGTGACATCAAACAGCATACAGGATATCAAGAAGCATATGGGATACTAAACAGCATATGTGATATCAAACAGCACATAAGACATCAAGCAGCACATAGGAAAACCAACAAAACATGAGAAAGGATTTAATAGATTTGACAAGAAGCAGCATATAGGACAACAAACAGCACATGGGACATCAAGCAGCATATGGGAAAAAAGCAGCACATGGGACAACAAGCAACACAAGGGATATCAAGTAGCATATGGGACAACAAGCAGCACATGAGACATGACATAATAGATGTGACAAGAAGCAGCACATGGGACATGAAACAGCACATAGGAATGAAACAGCACATGGGACATGAAACAGCACATAGGAATGAAACAGCACATAGGAATGAAACAGCACATAGGAATGAAACAGCACATGGGACATGAAACAGCACATAGGAATGAAACAGCACATAGGAATGAAACAGCACATAGGAATGAAACAGCACATAGGAATGAAACAGCACATAGGAATGAAACAGCACATAGGAATGAAACAGCACATAGGAATGAAACAGCACATAGGAATGAAACAGCACATAGGAATGAAACAGCACATAGGAATGAAACAGCACATGGGACATGAAACAGCACATAGGAATGAAACAGCACATAGGAATGAAACAGCACATGGGACATGAAACAGCACATGGGACATGAAACAGCACATGTGACATGAAACAGCACATAAGACAACAAGCAGCACAAGGGACAGATAAAACAGATGTGACAAGAAACAGCACATGGGACATGAAACAGCACATAGGAATGAAACAGCACATAGGAATGAAACAGCACATAGGAATGAAACAGCACATAGGAATGAAACAGCACATAGGAATGAAACAGCACATAGGAATGAAACAGCACATAGGAATGAAACAGCACATAGGAATGAAACAGCACATGGGACATGAAACAGCACATAGGAATGAAACAGCACATAGGAATGAAACAGCACATAGGAATGAAACAGCACATGGGACATGAAACAGCACATAGGAATGAAACAGCACATAGGAATGAAACAGCACATGGGACATGAAACAGCACATAGGAATGAAACAGCACATAGGAATGAAACAGCACATAGGAATGAAACAGCACATGGGACATGAAACAGCACATAGGAATGAAACAGCACATAGGAATGAAACAGCACATAGGAATGAAACAGCACATAGGAATGAAACAGCACATAGGAATGAAACAGCACATAGGAATGAAACAGCACATAGGAATGAAACAGCACATAGGAATGAAACAGCACATGGGACATGAAACAGCACATAGGAATGAAACAGCACATAGGAATGAAACAGCACATAGGAATGAAACAGCACATAGGAATGAAACAGCACATGGGACATGAAACAGCACATGTGACATGAAACAGCACATAAGACAACAAGCAGCACAAGGGACAGATAAAACAGATGTGACAAGAAGCAGCACATGGGACATGAAACAGCACATAAGACAACAAGCAGCACATGGGATATGAAACAGCACATAAGACAACAAGCAGCACATGGGACATGAAACAGCACATAAGACAACAAGCAGCACATGGGATATGAAACAGCACATAAGACAACAAGCAGCACAAGGGACAGATACAACAGATGTGACAAGAAGCAGCACATGGGTCATGAAATAGCACATAAGACAACAAACAGCACATGGGACATGAAACAGCACATACACTGAGAATGGTATCTCCAACAGCAAACTGGTTTTCTTGTACAGTCACTCTGTAAAATGAGGGTGCGAACACTGGAGCGTTGAGATTATCTGTAGACACCTGGATGTTGACCACACACATGCTGCTCAGTGCCTCTGTGGAGTTACCACTGTCTGGAGGAAGATAAGTTGCAATCATTAGTTCGGTACTCCCACAGCAAACCTGTAACCATGGCATACAGGCCAAACACTGCTCACAGACAGACAGACTGTACATCTGGTCACTGAACATATTTTCAGAGCTTATCTCCTTCTGAAGTCCCCAAACATTCATGACTGTCGATGTTGACAACAAATGTAAGTCAGACAACAAAAAGATTGTTTCAACTTCTTCTTCTTCTTCTTCGTGTTCACCGGCTGTGAACTCCGGTGTGATTGTTTGTCCACTTCTGGACTGCAGTCTTGTTCCATAACCTGAGTGTTGCGTGTGCATCCGTTTAACAGATCTGAATAATTTAGTTGCAGACTGTTGGTTCCTTGCCTCTCAGGCAGATGCACTCTGACTTTGAAGGAAGCTCCCAATTAGTCGACTCTTACAAGATGCTTTTGAGTTGGAGATCTGGTAGTTTATTTAGGCCACTGCCTGCAACATGCCTGGACAGCTGCTGTGATCATATATTGTTTTATTTGAAGTTAATTAGTAACATGCAAAATAATATCTACTTTAGTACTTTTCTATAATGTGAGTATATTTGTGAAAACCTAAGACACAATGAGCCCTCAATCTGTTACAATAACTGGAAATGTAAAATATCTGTTTACATGTACCCCTGCCAACATCACACAGAACTGTAAACTATGTGTTTACATTTACAGCCGCCTTGGTCAAATGTAAACATGTTAGCACATTTAAGTCTTTCCCACTGATAGTGTTATACTATTAGCAGGCACAAGAATGCTAATGGTGAAGGTAAACTTGACTAGCAAGACCCGCTCATGTTTAGAAAAGTCTTCCACAATTAGAGCATGAGATTTCAAGACCATTGTTGGCAAACACACACACAATCTATAGAGCAAAGAAGGCTTTTGACACAAAACAGCACCTGAGCCTGTCAGTGGTTGATTATGGCCTGGGACTCAAAGAACACAGAACACAGCTATGCAGGTCATTCTGGGTTGCATTCTGTATGCGATACATCCTTGGTTTGCCAACGGTTGCAGGTAGGCCCAAGGTGCTGCAGGCGAAGTCATGTCTCAAGGTTGCTGCAGTCACAGATCACCCTTTCCACAAAGCTCTGGGTGCAGTTTATGGTCAGAGGCTGATAAGAGGGAAGTCATGGATGGTTCAGGCAGAAGACACAATCAGACAGGTTTGCATCCTTCAGAACATTAGGGGAGGAGAGGAGTGGGTCAAAGTGCCACCTGAACAGTCAGACTTGTGTAGGGTCATAATCACACTGAGCTGGGAATGCAGAGACTGACCAGCAGGTGCCACGGATGTGAAAATTCAGCAATTAATTAAAGATAATGCTCGCTTGCAGTGGACACCGGTGAGGAGTATTGTCTGGATTATTTTACCAGGGGACGCGGTGTGTAGGTAAATGAACAGATGGACAGACTAGCTGGCTCTGCACAACTTGGTGGAATACGGATGCATGATAAGGCAGACGTAGCTAGTGCCTTGTGCGAGACCGTGTACAGTTTGGAGGAACAGATGAATCACCAATCCGGTGAGATTGATGCAGGTAAGAGTGACAAGAGGTTCTGGCAGATGCTCAGGGCTCAGAGGAAAGGCGAGACGGACGTTTAATCAGAATGCTACTGGCACCATTAGTATCGGAACTCTTCCTGGCTGCTGAGGATGGGAACGGAGCGCTTATTGGAATGTCCTGAGTGCTGTGATGTCGTTTCTTGAATCAAATCAAATCAACACAAACAATCATGTATAAAATGTTCTTTTTCTGAGACTTTCAGCTCTTAAACTATCTGCAGTTATTTTCTCCATTTTCGTTATTTCCTTCATGATTTTCTCACTCCATGAAATATGATTGCTGGCATCCTGTTTCCATGAATCCACATCAATGCCTATATCATTCATGTCCTGCTTGCAAACATCTTTATATTGCAGTAGAGGTCTGTCTCGACATCTTCTACCCATCTATAATTTATCACAGAGGATGTGCTTAGAATCTATACCATCCTCTAAATGTGTCCTAGTAATCTTCATATTTCTTCTTCTTCTTCTTTGTGTTCGGTTTTATATGCTTAGACCATCAGGTGGGTTGCCTCTATGACCTCGCATGTCAGTAGCAGGTCCTTCATGTTCACCATAGCTTGCTCTGCACACTTTGCTCTTGAGGCCAGGTGTCTTTTCAAGTTGTAGGTAGAGTGGGCAGGCCTGCAGAATGTGCTCAAGTATTTGTGGTCCTGTTTGACAGGCACACTGTGGGGACTGTACATTGTTTATTTATGCCTGTAGTAGTTAAGCCTGCAGTCTCCTGTTCATAGACAGAGAATTGTTGCTTGTTTCTTTCTGTTGATATGGTGTCTTGCTGATATTTACTGTGTGTTTATTCTCTCCACAATTCTTTGTATTTTCCTTTGATAAGTGTTTTAATTTCTGGTAATGACAATGATTGGGTGGGTTTGTTTCTCCTTTGTTCAATTTTTTGCAAGTCTCTGCTAACTTATTTCCTGGTATGCCACAGTAAGCCAAGATCCACCGGAGAAAAATTTGATTGTTTTCTGTGAGTCTGTTTATCTGGCCGGTCAGTTTTCTCTCCATGTTGTCTCATAGAGTTGCCTGGAGGACTGACATGCAGTCACAAAGGAAAACAGTTTTGCTGTTTTTAATTTTAATTTTAATTTTTTCAAGCAATTTGGTTGCATCAATAATTGCTTGCTGCTCTGCAGTTTGTTGAAAGTCTTCATGATGTTTTTACTGTGATCCCATCCTTCAAAATTAAAACCGATCTAGCGCCTCTTTTTTTTTTTTCCTGCTCCCTGCAATGATCCATCAGTGTATACATGTGTCCCTTCAGGCATTCTCTTTCTAGCACCTCAATGTTTGTGATCTTCTCTTGCCACTTAATGCTGAAAATTGTTTTGCATGTGAGAGCTGTTTAGCTTTTTCTCATGGCACGAATAAGCTAAGAAAATATAACTGAGCTTTCTGTTCTCCCAAACTCCTTTTGGTAATCTACTCATTGTTTTTGTTGCATTACTATCCTGATGTTGATTCTTAGTCTTGATCTCAAGACAGTGATAGTTCACTGCCAGAGGATCCCAGATATGTGAAATAATCAGCTGCCTCCAACTCTTCTCCATCAGTGTAGACTGCAGGCCTGTCATTAACACCTCACCTTGCACCATAACCTTTGCCTTTTTTTTTGGGGTCAATTGTTAATCCAAATTCACATGATCAGAGAATACAGATTGTAAATGTTGCAGTTCCTTCACTGTGGGTTGTAGTTGCAGCTACTTCACTGTGGGTTGTAGTTGCAGCTCCTTCACTGTGGGTTGTAGTTGCAGCTCCTTCACTGTGGGTTGTAGTTGCAGCTCCTTCACTGTGAGTTGTAGTTGCAGCTACTTCACTGTGGGTTGTAGTTGCAGCTACTTCACTGTGGGTTGTAGTTGCAGCTCTTTCACTGTGGGTTGTTGTTGCAGCTCTTTCACTGTGGGTTGTAGTTGCAGCTCTTTCACTGTGGGTTGTTGTAGCTCCTTCACTGTGGGTTGTAGTAGCTCCTTCACTGTGGGTTGTAGTTGCAGCTCCTTCACTGTGGGTTGTAGTTGTAGCTCCTTCACTGTGGGTTGTAGTTGAGGCTCTTTCACTGTGGGTTGTAGTTGCAGCTCTTTCACTGTGGGTTGTAGTTGCAGCTCTTTCACTGTGGGTTGTAGCTGCAGCTCCTTTACTGTGGGTTGTAGTTGCAACTCCTTTACTGTGGGTTGTAGTTGCAGCTCCTTTACTGTGGGTTGTAGTTGTAGCTCCTTCACTGTGGGTTGTAGTTGCAGCTCTTTCACTGTGGGTTGTAGTTGCAGCTCTTTCACTGTGGGTTGTAGTTGCAGCTTCTTTACCGTGGGTTGTAGTTGCAGCTCCTTCACTGTGGGTTGTAGTTGCAGCTCCTTCACTGTGGGTTGTAGTTGCAGCTCCTTCACTGTGGGTTGTAGTTGCAGCTCCTTCACTGTGGGTTGTAGTTGCAGCTCCTTCACTGTGGGTTGTAGTTGCAGCTCCTTCACTGTGGGTTGTAGTTGCAGCTCCTTCACTGAGGGTTGTAGTTGCAGCTCCTTCACTGTGGGTTGTAGTTGCAGCTCCTTCACTGAGGGTTGTAGTTGCAGCTCCTTCACTGAGGGTTGTAGTTGCAGCTCCTTCACTGAGGGTTGTAGTTGCAGCTCCTTCACTGAGGGTTGTAGTTGCAGCTCCTTCACTGAGGGTTGTAGTTGCAGCTCCTTCACTGTGGGTTGTAGCTGCAGCATCATCTCAGTAAAGAAGCTCTCTGATGAGTAATTCCTAATCCTGTCCTGCCTTTCAGTCAACAAGCACAGCAGAAGCTGCTGCCAGACTGAGAATGGATGAATATATCACCATCCTGATCTTGAAAGGCATATTTCAAAGTTACTGAAATGTATATTTCAAAGAGATGTATTCCAAATGTCAACATAACATTAACAACAACAACAACAAAACCAAGACATCTGCATGTACAGTCTTGACAGTACCTGTGGCTGTGACAGTCAGTGTGTAGGATCTGGGTCCTGTATTGAGAGCAGCTGTGCTTGAAATGACACCTGTTGTCTGATTGATTCTGAAGTTGGAGCTGCCAGCTGTTGATAGGGTCGGAGATCAGGGCATTTTTCAGTGAAACTGTCATGCATACTGAGAGAGAGAGAGAAAAAGAGAGAGAGAGAGAGAGAGAGAGAGAGAGAGAGAGAGAGAGAGAGAGAGAGAGAGAGAGAGAGAGAGAGAGAGAGAGAGAGAGAGAGAGAGAGAGAGAGAGAGAGAGAGAGAAAACTATTATCCCGATATCTACTAGAACCAGTCATTTGTGTAGAAAAAAAAAAGAATAACTCTCAATACAACAAAAAACAAGTGACTTTAGTACTATTGCTGAACACCACACAATTTTGCCTTCAGATGTATATTTATAATTTTAGTCATACCAGCTTTATGAGATGTTCTATGTTGAAAAACCTGCCTTGACAATAACTGACAACATTTTAATTTATGAGATTCTAATTTATGAGATTATGGAAAACCTTTAAAAACAGTAACAGACAGATTCAGATTTGTGTTATATATTTGAGAACATTCTAATACAGATGGGACAAACAGTTATCTGTCTACAAAGTCTTCTCAAGTGAAAGGCTTCAGATTCTTACTGACTGTAAATGGTTAAATGAATGAAAGAATCAATGGGTGAATGAATGAATGAATGAATGAATGAATGAATGAATGAATGAATGAATGAATGAATGAATGAATGAATGAATGAATGAATGAATGAATGAATGCATTAATGAGTGAATGAATCAAGAACTGACATTACTGCACATGGTACATTCCCACACATGCTCCATCTTCTTCAGTAGCCAGCCCTGCTTGTAACTGACTCACAGAACATGTTGAGAAAGGTGAAAACATTCATGCTTCGAACAAAGTGGCAAGCATCACTTTAGAGGTCCTGGGTAGTCATCATCCTTTGAATATTATCTTCAGGTGATGCTGGTGTGTTGGGAAATGAGCAGGCAGATAGACTGGCTGGCTCTGCACTACTTGGAGTTGAACTGATGTGTGACAAGTTAGATATTGTAAGGGCCCTTTGGGAACTGGTGAACAGTGCGGAAGCACAGATAGATCATTACGGTCTAAGGAGAATGGCGCTGCGAGAGGTTACCAGGGGATCTTGCTGACGCTCAACACTTATGGGAAGGATGAGACGGATATACAATCAGATGGTTACTGGTACCATCGGAATTAGAACTCTTCACTTGCTGCTGAAGATGGGGACTGAGCACTTATAAGAGTGTCCTGAGTGCTGTAATGTAGATTTTTAATTCAACATTTAACTTCACTAGCCAATGAAGAGACTGTACACATGAAATCCGCATAAGAACAACACTAAAATACTGTTGAAGTACGAGTATATAAATGGAATATACCAATCTTGACAGATGTCTTCAAATATTCCGAAGTGTTAAGTGAATGCAGGAGAGACCCTTGTCCTGGCACTGAAGCTATGCTGAATACATGGTGCTACCCCCACAGTGTCCCATGACTCAACTGGTGATGTGGCCACAGTGACACTGGCTACCTGCACTGTCCTGAATCTTTCCTGACACCCAAGTGAGGCTGTCAAAATGGCAGTACAGGTAAATACCTGCCTAAATAGGGATTTGATCGCATGACCACCAGACTGGTAGACAAGCACACAAGCCACACTAAGGTGGCTGCCACAGTTAGGGAGGACTAAATACTCACACAGCTGGTAGCGCACAGTCCCGTAATTGTTGAAGTTGGGGTCGTCTGCATCGGTAGCTTCAACTGTCAGGACTGTACTGCCTGGCGGAGCCTTGATGGAGATAACACTCCTGAAACATGCAGTCAGACATTTATTGACAGGTGTTTCTGCAGGATTATACCCTCACTTGATATCTGACACTGAACAGTGGATATGCTGGATATCACACACTGACTGGCTGATGGACACACAAGGACTGACTAGACAGACAGACAGTATCTAGACAGACACTGACTGGCTGATGGACACACAAGGACTGACTAGACAGACATACAGTATCTAGACAGACATCACACACTGACTGGCTGATGGACACACAAGGACTTGACTAGTCAGACATACAGTATCTAGACAGATATCACACACTGCCTGGCTGATGGACATACAAGGACTGACTAGACAGACATACAGTATATAGACAGACATCACACACTGCCTGGCTGATGGACACACAAGGATTGACTAGACAGACATACAGCATCTAGACATAACACACTACCTGGCCGATGGACACACAAGGACTGACTAGACAGACACACAGTATCCAGCTGCGACTCGCTGCAGCCCACGGCCGGTGTTTGAAACCGGGCGGTTCCTGGGGTTCAACCAGCCTCTAGGAAATGGGTACCAGAGTGACACTCTGGGATAAAAGGAGGAACGTCGCTATAGCTACGAGTTACGTGCGGACGACGACACAGGCGGACAGTTTCTCATCAGTTGTCTGTACTGGTAGCAGAGCACTTATGGTTTATAACCGTGTGCAATGACGCTGGTTCACATCTTCCGACTTTACCTTTACATACAGTATCTAGACAGACATCACACACTACCTGGCTGATGGACACACAAAGATTGACTAGACAGACATACAGTATCTAGACAGATATCACACACTGACTGGCCGATGGACACACAAGGACTGACTAGACAGACATACAGTATCTAGACATCATGCACTGACTGACTGATGGACACACAAGATTGACTAGACATACATACAGTATTTAGACTGACATCACACACTTACTGGCTGATGGACATACCAAGGACTGACTTGACAGACATACAGTATCTAGACAGACATCACACATTGACTGGCTGATGGACACACAAGGACTGACTAGACAGATATACAGTATCTAGACATCACACACTGACTGGTTGATGGACACACAAGGACTGACTAGACAGACATACAGTATCCAGACATCACACACTTACTGGCTAATGGACACACAAGGATTGACTAGACACACATATAGCATCTAGACTGGACAAGTCATGGTAGACATCATGCACTTACAGGCTGTGGACAAACAAGGATTGACTAGACACACATATAGTATCTAGACTGCACAAATACATGATCGTACAATGGTGACTGACAACTAGGCAAATCAAGATTACAAAAAGCACAGGTGAGAACGCACCTGAACAGAGAGGATTTGAACCGTGGAGGGTTATCATTGACATCATCAACTATGACTGAGACGGAGGCAGTGTTTGAGGCTGAAGCATCAGCAGCTTTGACCAGGAGCAGGTAGGATGCCTCCCTCTCTCGGTCCAGGGAATCCACCAGGATAATCTGCAGCACATGTTCACACACAGCTTCATTGGCACATAGACTGAATTGTGGCAGCACAAGTCATTATGAGAGTATCTTATATAAATGACATACATACTGTCATGTTGTATCACTGAAATACCCACTGTCATCTTGTATCATTGACATACACACTGTCTTCTTGCATCATTGACATACCCAATGTCATCTTGTATCATTGACATACACACTGTATTCTTGTATCATTGACATACACACTGTATTCTTGTATCATTGACACACCTATTATGATCTTGTATCATTGACAAACACACTGTCTTTTTGTATCATTAACATACTTACTGTTATCTTGTATCATTAACATGCACACTGTCATCTTGTAGCATTAACATACTGTTATCTTGTATCATAACATACCTACTGTCATCTTGTATCATTAACATACCCCCTGTCATCTTGTATCATTAACATACCCCCTGTCATCTTGTATCATTGACATACCCACTGTGATCTTGTATCATTGAAATACACACTGTATTCTTGTTTCATTGACATACCCACTGTCATCTTGTATAATTAACATACACAATATCATCTTTTATCATTGACATACCCACTGTCTTCTTGTATCATTGACATACCCACTGTCTTCTTGTATCTAAACATACCCACTGTCATCTTGAATCATTGACATACACACTGTCTTCTTGTATCATTGACATACACACTGTCATCTTGTATCACTAACAAACACACTATCATCTTGTATCATTAACATACCCACTGTCATCTTGTATCATTAACATACCCACTGTCATCTTGTATCATTAACATACCCACTGTCATCTTGTATCATTAACATACCCACTATCATCTTGTATCATTAACATACCCACTGTCATCTTGTATCATTAACATACACACTGTCATCTTGTATCATTAACATACCCACTGTCATCTTGTATCTAAACATACCCACTGTCATCTTGAATCATTGACATACACACTGTCTTCTTGTATCATTGACATACCCACTGTGATCTTGTATCATTGAAATACACACTGTATTCTTGTTTCATTGACATACCCACTGTCATCTTGTATAATTAACATACACAATATCATCTTTTATCATTGACACCCACTGTCTTCTTGTATCATTGACATACCCACTGTCATCTTGTATCTAAACATACCCACTGTCATCTTGAATCATTGACATACACACTGTCTTCTTGTATCATTGACATACACACTGTCCTCTTGTATCACTAACAAACACACTATCATCTTGTATCATTAACATACCCACTGTCATCTTGTATCATTAACATACCCACTGTCATCTTGTATCATTAACATACCCACTGTCATCTTGTATCATTAACATACCCACTGTCATCTTGTATCATTAACATACCCACTGTCATCTTGTATCATTAACATACACACTGTCATCTTGTATCATTAACATACCCACTGTCATCTTGTATCTAAACATACCCACTGTCATCTTGAATCATTGACATACACACTGTCTTCTTGTATCATTGACATACACACTGTCATCTTGTATCACTAACAAACACACTATCATCTTGTATCATTAACATACCCACTGTCATCTTGTATCATTAACATACACACTGTCATCTTGTATCATTAACATACCCACTGTCATCTTGTATCATTAACATACCCACTGTCATCTTGTATCATTAACATACACACTGTCATCTTGTATCACTAACATACTGTTATCTTGTATCACTAACATACACAATATCATCTTGCTTCATTAACATACACACTGTCATATTATATAATTGACATACACACTGTCATCTCATATCATTGACATACACACTATCATCTTGTATCACAACAAACACACTATCATCTTGTATCATTAACATGCTCACTGTCATCTTGTATCTCTGACATACACACTGTCACCTTGTAGCATTAACATACACAATATCATCTTGCTTCATTAACATACACACTGTCATCTAGTTTAATTGACATACTCACTGTCATCTTGTATCATTGACAAACACACTATCATCTTGAATCACTGATGTACACATTATTATCTTGGAGAACTGATGGACATACTTTTATATTGTATCAAAGATAAACCCACTATCATCCGGTGACCATATGTCTTCAGTAAACTGTTGTAAAGAAAAGTCTTACCTGTCCACTCTGTTCATCGATAGAAAATTGTTGATACGGGCGCAGAAATGAATACTTTACTTGTCCATTCTGATCTCGGGGAGAGTCTGGGTCAGAAGCTCTCACAGTGAAGACAGTGCTGTCCACTGTCTGATTCTCTGGTATGTGGACAGTGTAGCTATCTGTGAATAGATATGGGCATGTTACAGACATCACATCAACAGATATGGAGAGGTTACAGATATGGGCATGTTATAGACATCACATCAACAAATATGGAGAGGTTACAGACAAATATGGGCATGTTACAGACATCACATCAACTAATATGGAGAGGTTACAGACAAATATGGGCATATTACAGACATCACGTCAACAGATATGGAGAGGTTACAGACAAATATGGGCATGTTACAGACATCACATCAACTAATATGGAGAGGTTACAGACAAATATGGGCATGTTACAGACATCACATCAACAGATATGGAGAGGTTACAGACAAATATGGGCATGTTACAGACATCACATCAACTAATATGGAGAGGTTACAGACAAATATGGGCATGTTACAGACATCACATCAACTAATATGGAGAGGTTACAGACAAATATGGGCATGTTACAGACATCACATCAACTAATATGGAGAGGTTACAGACAAATATGGGCATGTTACAGACATCACATCAACAAATATGGAGAGGTTACAGACAAATATGGGCATGTTACAGACATCACATCAACAGATATGGAGAGGTTACAGACAAATATGGGCATGTTACAGACATCACATCAACTAGATATGGAGAGGTTACAGACAAATATGGACATGTTACAGACATCACATCAACTAATATGGAGAGGTTACAGATATGGGCATGTTATAGACATCACATCAACAGATATGGAGAGGTTACAGATATGGGCATGTTATAGACATCACATCAACAGATATGGAGAGGTTACAGATATGGGCATGTTATAGACATCACATCAACAAATATGGAGAGGTTACAGATATGGGCATGTTATAGACATCACATCAACAGATATGGAGAGGTTACAGATATGGGCATGTTATAGACATCACATCAACAAATATGGAGAGGTTACAGATATGGGCATGTTATAGACATCACATCAACAGATATGGAGAGGTTACAGATATGGACATGTTACAGACATGACAACTAATATGGAGAGGTTACAGATATGGGCATGTTATAGACATCACATCAACAGATATGGAGAGGTTACAGATATGGGCATGTTACAGACATGACAACTAATATGGAGAGGTTACAGATATGGGCATGTTATAGACATCACATCAACAGATATGGAGAGGTTACAGATATGGGCATGTTATAGACATCACATCAACAGATATGGAGAGGTTACAGATATGGGCATGTTACAGACATGACAACTAATATGGAGAGGTTACAGATATGGGCATGTTATAGACATCACATCAACAGATATGGAGAGGTTACAGATATGGGCATGTTATAGACATCACATCAACAGATATGGAGAGGTTACAGATATGGGCATGTTATAGACATCACATCAACAGATATGGAGAGGTTACAGATATGGGCATGTTATAGACATCACATCAACAGATATGGAGAGGTTACAGATATGGGCATGTTATAGACATCACATCAACAAATATGGAGAGGTTACAGATATGGGCATGTTATAGACATCACATCAACAGATATGGAGAGGTTACAGATATGGGCATGTTACAGACATCACATCAACAAATATGGAGAGGTTACAGATATGGGCATGTTACAGACATCACATCAACAGATATGGAGAGGTTACAGATATGGACATGTTACAGACATCACATCAACTAATATGGAGAGGTTACAGATATGGGCATGTTATAGACATCACATCAACAGATATGGAGAGGTTACAGATATGGACATGTTATAGACATCACACCAACTAATATGGAGAGGTTACAGATATGGGCATGTTATAGACATCACATCAACAAATATGGAGAGGTTACAGATATGGGCATGTTATAGACATCACATCAACAGATATGGAGAGGTTACAGATATGGGCATGTTACAGACATCACATCAACTAATATGGAGAGGTTACAGATATGGGCATGTTATAGACATCACATCAACAGATATGGAGAGGTTACAGATATGGGCATGTTATAGACATCACATCAACAGATATGGAGAGGTTACAGATATGGACACATCAACAGATTAGGTTACAGATATGGACATGTTATGACATCACTCAACAGATATGGAGAGGTTACAGATATGGGCATGTTACAGACATCACATCAACAGATATGGAGAGGTTACAGATATGGGCATGTTACAGACATCACATCAACAGATATGGAGAGGTTACAGATATGGACATGTTACAGACATCACATCAACAAATATGGAGAGGTTACAGATATGGGCATGTTATAGACATCACATCAACAGATATGGAGAGGTTACAGATATGGGCATTTTATAGACATCACATCAACAGATATGGAGAGGTTACAGATATGGGCATGTTATAGACATCACATCAACAAATATGGAGAGGTTACAGATATGGGCATGTTATAGACATCACATCAACAAATATGGAGAGGTTACAGATATGGGCATGTTATAGACATCACATCAACAAATATGGAGAGGTTACAGATATGGGCATGTTATAGACATCACATCAACAGATATGGAGAGGTTACAGATATGGACATGTTACAGACATGACAACTAATATGGAGAGGTTACAGATAAGGACATGTTATAGACATCACATCAACAGGTATGGAGAGGTTACAGATATGGGCATGTTACAGACATCACAACTAATATGGAGAGGTTACAGATATGGACATGTTACAGACATCACATCAACAAATATGTTTTTAATATGTGTCTGTATGTGAATTTATAATATATATATATATGTATGTATGTATGTATGAGGTATAATTATAGATAGATGAGAAATAAGATTAGGAGGGGAAGAGAGATGTTTGTGTTACACTTACTGACTATTGCCGAATTCTAAAGACAACATTAACAGCCATTAGAAACAGGATTCAATGGACAGAATGGATGGATGATCTAGAATTCACTGAGATTACCTTTCTGTACCGCATATAAAATACAGTCTTGGTGGGAGGCCACATCTATTACATGCACACACAAAAATCAATCACAAAGACAATGCGAACTGACTCATAAACAGCATCCTGCTTCAAAAGAAGTATTTCGGCCACATAAAACGTCATTGTGGCTTGGAAAAGACAGTGATGGAGGGTGCAGTTTGTGGAAGGTGAAGAAGGGGTCAACCTCCGCAAAAATGGATACAGGACATTGAAGATGTGTTGCGAATTAAAGTGCCTCCTCAGGATTGGAGAGCTGGCTAGGGAAAAGGATACTTACAGGCGTCCCATGAAGAGAGCGACGTTCTGTAAAGGACTTGCTGATTGATGATGATCGAATATAAATCAGTCAAACAATAACTTTAAAGGGTTTTATCCTACTTACATTTATGTAGCAATGTAAATAGAAAGAAGAACATAAAAGAGGCATACAAATTATAATACAAAGGGCATGGAGAGTTTTAACAGCATTAAGACAATTGTAAAAGTCAACAGAAACTAGGCTTTTAAAAACTCACATCAAATCATCAAATCTGTAACCACATATGAAGCAACAACATGAAGAATTACCACTGTTAGTAGTAAACAATTACAAATATGCATTAACCAGTGGCTACACAGAAAGAAGACAGAATAAGATGGTGAAAGAATTACCAATTCCCCTTTTTCTTTCGTTCACTTGACATATATTTTCTAAATCTTCAATGTTGTCTCTAGTTTAAACTTCACTGTCATTTTGAATTCACTCAGCGACCCGAATAGTTTACTTTGCATTGGTGTTTCTCTTGGCCAAAAGTTTTGCCTTGATATGTTGTATTTGGGACAGTCTTGGAGGACGTGATCTGCTGTCTCAGGTGCCAATCCACATGTGCACATGTCTGATTCGCTGATTTTAAATTTTGTGTACACGTGGCTTCAAAGCCGATTGTGTCCTCTTCTGGTCTGTCCATAAATGGTAATCATCTTGTTACCATTAATGAGCAAACAGTGCTGGCATTGGATATGACATACACAAAGAACATCTGAAAACTCTATCACTAGAATGTGCTTTCAGCTGAACCCAATTGTGAAATAGAGACATAGAATGATAAGGTAGAAAAGTAGCAGCAGAGATGAATGAACTGGAGAGGATATACAGGGAGCCAAAGGAGATACGAAAAGACAGCAGTTTGGATGTCAATTAATTAAGCTGCAGTGGTGGGGGGGGGGGGGGGGGGGGGATTGGAACCTGGCTGACTCGCACCATGAGAATATCTACAGTGCTGTGTTGTCATATCTTTCATCTACACTCAACACTGGGGGATATAGGGCAGAAATGTAGATTCTGAAAAGGAAATAAGATAGGATGAAAGGTTAAAGTTGAGAAGATCAACTTAATTGCAATGGGTTTTATTCCATAAGGTTCGGTATTTTTCTTCGCAAACGGCTAGCCGCCTGCCCAAGAGCACAAACACTATAGCTCCAGTGACAATCCCTAGAGATCTGTTAAAATTGCCTTCATGAACTGAAGGGTGCAGTCATGAAATGAACCCACAACCGTCAGACACGAGGCTAAACAGCTTGACCACTGCACCACGGAGACCCCCATAGGATGTCTTGGTGTCAGTTGGGGTAGCTAATGGCAGAGATATATGACAGACATGTGTCTTTTGAGAAGGAGATAAGAAAAGAAAGATAGCTTGGTGTCAGTTGGTTGAACTCTGAAGGGAGATACATAAAAGAAGTGTGTCTTTTGACAAGGAGACAAGAAAAGACAGGACAGCTTGCTATCAGTTGGTTGAGCTCCAAAGGAAGACATAGGATAGAAGTGTGGCTTTAGACCAAGCAGATATTATCTGTCACAGAGAAGTTTCTAGAAAGAAAGAAACAATCTGTAATGTTGACAGCGATTTATTACCTCTTTCAAACCTTGGAGGTCCCTCGTCCACACTTCCGGTGATCACGGAACCAGAAATATTGCGGTCATGACTGGCCACTGAGTCTGAGACTAAGATGACTAAATC